GCAACACTTCATTATTCAGACTGATCAGAAGAGTCTAAGATGGCTTCTGCAACAAAAAATCAATACACCATTCCAGCAATTTTGGCTATCCAAGCTTATGGGTTTTGATTATGAAATTGTATACAGACCTGGGAAAGAGAATATGGCTGCTGATGCACTCTCTAGAGTTCAAGGGAATGAAATATTAAACATGGCTTTATCTGTGGTATCATCTGACCTACAACAATTGATTTACAGAAGTTATGCATTAGATGACAACACTTTGGAGCTTTTGAACAAATTGAATCAACATCTATCAATGCCAAAGTACCAATTGAAAGATGGTTTGATTAGGAAAGAAGGGAAAATTCTGGTAGGCCCTGATGAGAATTTAAGGCTGAAAATTATAACTTGGCATCACTCAGCTCCAGAAAGTGGTCATACAGGTAGGGATGCTACACTTGCAAGGATCAAGAAGTTGTTTACATGGAAAGGTCTGAATAAGGATGTTAGTAGTTTTATCAGACAATGCCAAATCTGCCAAGCTGCCAAGTATGATAATTCTGCCTACCCGGGTTTCATTCAGCCCTTACCAATTCCAGAAGAGGTGTGGGTAGATATATCGATGGATTTTATATCTGGTTTACCTAAATCAATGGGTAAAGAGGTTATCTTTGTGGTTGTAGACAGGCTAAGCAAATATGCACACTTTATAGCTCTGTCTCATCCTTTTTCAGCAATAGAAGTTGCTCAGGCTTACTTGGATAACATATTCAAGTTACATGGTTGGCCAAGGAGTATAGTCAGTGACAGAGATGCCATTTTCCTTAGTCAATTTTGGCAGTCTTTATTCACCATACAGGGAACTGAATTTTTGTTGTCATCTGCATACCATCCTCAAACTGATGGCAATACTGAGGTGGTTAATAGAGGTATTGAGACATATCTGAGATGTTTCTGTGGAGATGAGCCTTCTGATTGGGCTAAATGGTTACCCATTGCAAAATGGAGTTATAATACTCATTTTCAATCTGCTGCTAAAATGACTCCTTATGAGATAGTTTATAACCAACCTCCTCCTTTGCATTTACCCTACTTACCAGGTGAATCTAAGGTGGATAGTGTGGATAGATCTTTACGGAGGAGAGAAGAAATGTTGAAGTTGCTAAAGCATCATCTAATTAGGGCTCAACAGAGAATGAAGCATCAGGCTGATAAACACAGATCTGATAGAATATTTTCTACAGGTGATTGGGTTTGGTTAAAGCTACAACCTTACAGACAGATTTCGGTTCAACAACGAACTAATCAGAAATTAGCTTACAAATACTATGGACCATTTCAAGTGGCTGCTAAGATTGGTGCAGTAGCATACAAACTGTGATTACCAGATTCTGCACAGATACATGATATATTTCATGTTTCTCTTTTAAAACCGTTTCATGGTACCATTCCTGTTGCAGCCCAAATTCCTGTTTGGTTTCAAGGACAGAATGATGATTTTACTCCTCAGCCTAAAGCTATTCTTAAAAGACGTATGGTGAAGTATCAGAATGGAGCTCAAACCCAATTTCTAGTTCAATGGCAAGGATATTCAGATGCAGAAGCAAGTTGGGAAGTGGCTGAAGAGTTTATGCAAAAATACCCTGAGTTTCAAGTTTAAGACTTGAGGACAAGTCTTTTTAGAGGGGAAAGTATTGATACAGTTAGTTAGCTGGAGAAGTTTGTTAAGAAGTAGTTAATAAAAATAGTTTTCTGTTAATTCATTTTGTTCCTTACAAGAACTATAAATAGAGCAAATTGTAAAGTGATGCTTAGCCAGACATTTTGTAATCGATACTCATCAAGTTGAGCTTGCTCCTTGCATAATACTTTTCCTTCCATCTCTGTTTTTCTTCTCTCAACTTCATATACGATCTTATTTCATCTCATAAGGTCTGCAACCGTATTAATCTAATCAGATTAAAGCCACGGTACGTTACAACCTTTTGTTTACCAATCTTTTGGTTTTTATATGTTACATTAATACACATTATTATCATTATTATACTTTTTATTGAAAAATAATAAATAATATATACAAAGTATTTTTATATATATGATGACATATTAAAATATTATAAATAATGTATCATATATATATATAAGTAATTCTTGGTGTAACCAAATTTGTACGCAAATTGTACACTGCATGCGTCACAAGCATGCATTTTGGCAAAAAAAAATCATTTTTTTTCAAACGAATTACCTGTGTACACATGCAATTAGAGGGTGTACAATTTTTATACTAATTTGGTGTACACACCAAGAATTTTCAAATAACAAAACAGTAAGCCGTATGATATGATAGACGTAGTACTTCGTATAAGTGTATGACTGAACAAAACGAAAAGAAAAAATATCACAAAATAATATATCCAGTTAAAAACATTCAAATGAAAAAACCATTCAGAATGAGCACTTTACATTGTGTTTAATTAAAATCTCCCATGGTAGCTGGGGTAACCTGAAACAAAGATAGCATCAAGAAAATAAGTTTTTAATGTTTAAGGTTTAGCAACTACATTAGTACATTATGAGCCCGTTTGGTAGCACGAAAATTGGCTGTTTTGGCTGATTCTGCTGAAATTTATGAAGTTCTGGCTGAAGTGGCTGTATTGGCTGATTTAAGAAAAAAATATTTTAAAAATATATTTTATTAATAAAATAAAGAAAAAATTATATGTTAAAATAGCTAAAATAGTCATCTACAGTAACTTCAGCCAATACAGCCAGAAAAGTAACTCCAACCTTACTTTTTCTGCTTATTACACAATTCAGCGCGCGAAAGCAAATGTTACGTGTTTGGTGAAAAAGCTGGCTGATAAGCCTGATAAACCAAAAAACTGGGTTGCCAAACGGGCTCTATATATACGCACATGTAAGAGAATGAGGTTACATTCTCTATGTGTTTAATGCATTTCTCTTTGCATTCAAATTGATTTCTCGAAAATAAAAGAGGATATAGTATTCTTTTTTGTGATGCGAAATTGGGTCGGATTTTGTATGGCCAACTTTAATATGGGCAGTCCAGGTTTTCATTCCATACAAAAGATATGCTATGAAATACGTAGTAATTAATATCAAATTATCAATACATTTAGTATAAAAATAAATACTACGTATTTATCTACTACGTATTACTACGGGTATATATTATACGAAAAGTATATAATAAAAGTTTGTTGTAGTCATCCTTTTACGAATCTTTACAAATATATTTCTATTGAAATGCATTTAGTTTTATAATGCATTTTATTGTCTTGTTTTGTTTTGATTGGGTCAGGTCTAGCCCCCCCAATCAGTCTCGCTTATTTTTGTTTCGTTCTGTATTTTGGAGAAGGGATGCCTTCTCTGGAGAGGTTTTGGTCTAATCCCCCTCTTCATTTGTATCTTTTGATTTTCTTAATAAAACCTGGCAAATGTTCCCCGGCGTTTGCCCCACCGACTTTGGTGGTTTACCTACCGGGACCAAAAAAAAAAAAAAAAAATGCATTTAGTTTTATACGGAGTATGTATTCTAGCATAATAACATAAATACTCCGTATGTTAAATTTGCCTCATAGTCCAATGTCCTTAATTAGATCAAACATATATATTTTACATAATAGTTTAATAGGAGTATGTAATTACATAATGAATAAAATATAAAAAAAGTTTTGGCCCGTGCATCGCATGGGTATAATACTAGTTAGATTAAAATGACAAAATTATTTGACTGAAAGAGGTGTGAGATATGTTGCTTTTCCTAAAGATTTGACTATTCGTTGGAATAGTACTTATAAATTATTTAAAGTTGTTCTTTGATATAAAGAACATTTTTCTGCTTTTTTAAAACAACATGATAACTATAATATACACTCGGCTGACATCGACACTTGCGAAAAAATTTGTAATGTTTTGATATTTTTTTTAATGTAACTGAAACTTTTAGTCATGTTTATAAACCTACCGCAAACCAATTTATTCGTGAAGCTGTTAATCTCGCCGGTGCTTTTAAAGAATTTGAGAATGCCATTTACGTGAGTTATTTTTGTGATTTTATGAAGGATTTTTTTTAAAATATTATGCACATATTCCGCATATTTATGGTATTGCATTTATTCTAGATCCTCGTTTTAGACTAGCTAATTTGAAAGATTGTTTCAACTTCTATTATCTTGCTTTTTTTGGTGAATTTCCTGTGACACCGCACCCGAACGTCCTTGAAAATTCAACTTAAATTCAAATTTATGTATTGAATTTCCGATCTCCAAACAATTGTAAACGATTAATGTTCTACGTAGTGCATGGTTAAATAGCGTACTGTTCAAACTCGTACATTAGTGTCGGTTTTGCAAATACTTATTCAGGACTTATTAATAAATAAAAGAGCCCAACATTATCCAAATAGTGATACATAGTCTTTCAAGACAATTTGAGGAAGGTCGGGCGGCCCAAACATTATTTTGGGCCCAACCTGCTAAAAATAGCAAAGTATTCGGGAATGGCGTTCTAGACCCACTCGGGAGTGACCCACACGGCTAGTAGCCCAATAATATGCATGACAAATGTCAAATAAGTGATAGAATGACTAAAGAAGAATACAAATGCCTATAACCAAATCTTTGGCATTATTGAGCTAAATAATGGGAGTAGGATTTTCCTTCTATAATATCCACCAAGTAAATTATTGAGATGAGCCTACACATATTGGAGATCAATAATGTGATTTAGGAAGTTGACTTGTTCTAAATAAATTAGGATGAGTACAAAAAGACATCTTTGACAAAAGATAAAACAATAGGACCCATCTTCCTATTTTTGGAAGTATTGGTAGATATTTTGGACCCCAAGATGAATGGGATCAATTGGGAACCATTCCACATGGACTTAGTACCTGCAAAACAAATGAAAAGAGGTGAGAAGACTATATGGGGCGGACTCTTGGCTCACATGCACAAAAACTCCAAGAGAAAACAAAAGGGGGAGGTCCACCCCATATTTGATTGCAAACCAAATATCTCCCATGTTCTTTTGTGAGCCACATACTCTTTTAGCATGTTTAGGGTCTCCTAATACACTCCCCCTACACCCCATTCGAACCCCCAAAGAGATAAGAGAGCAAGGGAATCCACACAACCCAAGAGAGAAGGAAGGAGGAGAGCAGTCCGCAGGTTCGTTCTCCAGTGCGTAGCTCTGATTGTTTGAGCCATAACTTGAGATTTACTCATCCAAATAAGGCGTGCGAGATACCAACAGAAAGCTCTCAAGACGAGGAATCCGTGAAGGTCTGGTTTGCATCAATCGGAGTAGCGGAAGGCTTCCAAATCGACCGAGCAAAACACGACCTCGCAGGATACGTTTTTTGTATTCAAAGTAAGTTTGAATCCAAAACCTTCCTCTCTATTGTCTAAACCATATAAATGATTGAAGAACTATTATACACTGATTGAAGTGTATAAAATGTTATTATAAAGTGACTTTAATTGTTGGAAAAGTTAGATACTAATCTAGACAAAACCTTGAAAGGTTAGGGAACGATTTCATCGGGAAACACCCGTTCTAGGGACTGTTTTTGTGTCTTCGGTTAGGAGTTGAACTAGCACTTTGAAGAGGCTGTTTAACACTCAATTCCAAGCAAGGAATCAGTTCTCAATCTTCCTTGGCCGGGGCTTTGGTCATTGGATCGAGAAGGAAAGTCTTAAAGCTCATTTGAGGTGAGGATTGACATCTAATTGCTTACAACTTGTAGGTTAAGCATGAGATTACCTAAATGCCTAAATCATAATTTTTATGGATTATGATGATTATATAATGATGAAATATGGATATAGTTGCCAAAGAATGAAATTGGAAATGATTTGAGAATGTATGAATAAAATGAGATTAAATGAGTTATAAATGAACTATTTTGTGAAATAGACATTTTACTCATGTATGAATTATGTAGGTACACAAATGAATGTTTATGTATTGAGATTGAACACTTAAGTTGCTACTACATAATTATAAATATGTAGAGGATTACAAATAATGAGCATATATGTATGATAACAATAATCTTAATAGTATTGAAATACTAGTTAGTGATTATTGGAAATTGTTGATGGAATTGATCCTAGGGATTGGATTGTATGAAATGCACTTGAATATACTTCAAGTGTGTATGATGACTTAGTATGAAACTAAGGTTAAGTGGTGGGAAGTCTTTAAGGACGACCCATGGTAGTTTATTGATATGTCAATTCTAGGCATAGGGTTGCTTAAGAATTGGACCTTCATGCATGGTGATGTGATAGAGCCGAGCTCTACGATGCATGGTAAGGTGGTAGACTTGTAGTCTATGTACTGAATAGCTAGAGCCGAGCTCTAGGGCTTGCGTGGTGATGTGATAGAGCCGAGCTCTAGAACGCAAGGTAAGGAAATTGACCCGACGGACATGAATTGTATGGTGATGTGGTAGACCCGAGCTCTAGAATACAATGTCATGTGTCAGGGTTGGACTCTATGAATTGTCGTGGCTTATAGCCACGGGGAATGGGAACGGTGATTTCTAAATGAACATGGGCCCACGGGCCGACTACTTGACTTTTACATAAAGTAAGTATATTTTCAAACGGGGTAACTTAGGGTTACAAATCATAATGTACTATCACCCTATTTGAGGGTCTTGTGTTTGAAATACTTGTTGTATATCTATTAGATGCCTGCCACACCAGTACTTTATAGCCGTATAGAGTACTGACCCCTTCGGGGGCGTCCCACCACCATTTCAGGTTGAGGCTAGAGCTTGCATCCTGTGCTCGTTGATCGAGTGATCCCTCGGAGAGAAGACTTGGTTCGTGCTTCCTCCATTCTATTTGAAACATTAATGAATTTGCTCATGGACATTTTACTATAGAGCCTGCGTGCTCATGAATAGCCCTGTGTGGCTCTTTTGTTTTAAACAATGTTTTCCGCTGCGTTATGAATTACTTATTATGTTTGTTTATGGATGTTATATGTGTGAATGATATTCATGACGCCTTGTATAATATGAATGTGTTGGACTGCGGTTGACTATTCGTATTGTACGGCGGGTTGTTGACGTGTCCGGGTAGGTCCGGGGCGTGACAATTAAGTTGGTATCAGAGCCAGGTTCCATAAACTTCATAATGAAGTCTCAAAATTCTCTTTTTGAAAAGATTTTGAAAACCATGAGCATAGAAGTTTTGTACTTGGGGAGCTTTTGGTACTTGGGTTGCAAGGTCTCTAATTGTTAAGATGGTACCCTTAGCAATTGGTATGGCGGTGACTCGAGCCAAAACGTGTCTTAAGTACCTATCCGTCAATTGACATTTTATACGAGTCTAACGACTCTTTCCAAATTTCTTTCAGAAATGGACCGTGGTGGCAGGATTACTAGGAGGAACCCGACCGGTCGTGTACCAGTGGAGACTGGATAGGGCAGTCGAAGGACCTCTAGGGCATCTAGAGGAGCTGGCCGTGGAGGCCGATCACAGACCGTGAGTGACGGTCATGTCGACACAGAAAGTGAAACCTACTGGTCCTATGAGGACTCGACTTACCAACCGGAAACCGAGCCGGTTGAGACCCCTTACGAAGGGGATGACGATGATGTGAGTGATGAAGAAGGGGAGAACGACTCCCTAGCAAGGATTGAGGCGCTGCTCCAGCAATATCAGCGGGAGCGCGAGGAAAGGAGGGAACGCCGAAGGCGCCGAGGAGGGCGAACTTCGGGTGGGGCTTCAAGAGGAAGAAGCCATGGCGACTCTAGGGCCCACATTGAACCACATGGGGGCCGGGGTGATGGAGGTCCGATCATAAGGATCTCCAAATACCTCAAAGAGGCACGAGACTTGGGGTGCAAACCCTTCAATGGAGCAGGTGACATCTCGGTCGCCGCGGAATGGATCAAGAGGTTGAACGAAGCAGCCCTTGATATGCAACTCACCCCCGAATTCAAGCTAAGGGTGGCGGTAAGATTGCTTGAAGGGATGGCATCCACATGGTGGGACGGAGCTAAGGGGAAGTATGGCAATGTTGTGACTTGGGAGAATTTCCGGCAGGAGTTCTTTGCCTAGTACTATTCTGATTTTGAGGTGAACGCTAAGAGAAGGGAGTATACCCTCCTGACCCAAGGTGGCAAAATGACGGTGAGGCAACTTGAGCACAAATTCAGGGAGCTCGCGGAGTTCATACCGGAGTATGTCTGTGACGAGAACCGGATGGTGAACCACTTCTGGGATGCTCTGGACTTGGAAATACGTGATAGAGCAACACAATTGCCTAACATGACGTTTGCCCAAGTAGTCAACCAAGGGTTGAAAGGGGAAAAACAGTGGGAGGAGAGGAAGAAGAGAGACGCCGAGGAGGCGAAAAAGAGAAAGTGGGAGAGTCATGGCTCCCAAGGTTCCAACAAAAAGGGGAACCATGGAGGAGGATCTTTCCGGGCACCACCGCCACCATCTAGGGGGAACCAAGGCCCAAGTGGGCAAGGCTCGAGGTCACAGGCCTCAGTGGTAACCCGTTGCAACAATTGCAAGAAGAACCACTCCGGTAAGTGTCGCGACCCCCCTAGATGTTTCCAATGCGGGGATGCTGGGCATTTGAAGGCGCATTGCCCACAATTGGGTGGGGCAAGGACACCGGGACCGAGCAGTGGTCCTACGGGTACACGGAATCAAACCGGGGCTTCTCAAGCAAGCAGGGGACAAGGGGGAGCAAGTGCGAGCAACGCGCCATCCGTGAACCAAGGAAGGACCCAGGCTAGGGTCTATGCGATGACGGAGGCGGACGCTCAAGCTAACCCGGACTCCGTTGCAGGTATTGCCTCTCGTATACTAGTGTTTTGTCCTTAATTAGTCCATAAATTGAGGTTACTAGTTGTTAGGATCATTGCACGAAGTTTTGGGGTCGAACCGGGAAGATTTCGGACCATTTCGGGCTGTTTTCGCCTAGGCACGATCGTGCCTAAGGCACGCACGATCGTGCCTACAAGGCAGTAGCTGCCTGCGCTTTTCCCCGACCCAGACACGATCGTGCATAAGGCAGGCACGATCGTGCCTCCAAGGCAGTAGCTTCCCAGGATTTTCCCCGACCCAGGCACGATCGTGCCTAAGGCAGGCACGATCGTGTCTCCAAGGCAGTAGCGTCCTGGGCTTTTTCCCAAGCCAGGCACGATCGTGCCTACCCCAGGCACGCCGTGCCTGGCACCCAGACTGCCGAAGTGCGATTTTTTCGCACCGTTTTGCGACGTTAAGACTTTTTCTTGATCCCTAACGTGCGTGTGAACATTGTAACCTTCTATAAATGAGTAGGGAGGGTAGGAAAGATGTCTTACATGGTTCATGAATGTAGGGACACTAAAGATTAATGGGAAGGATGCGTGAATCCTTATCGATACCGGGGCGCAACGTTCATTTGTGAATGAAGCATTCGCCAAGAGATTGGAAGTGCAATCCGCACCATTGATGCAAACCTTAGTGGTATCAACACCACTAGGGGATGACGTGGAAAGAACTTGTTACTATCCATCTTGTGGGGTGGAAGTTAATGGTCAAACCCTGACGTGTGACTTCGTACCGCTGAGCATGATCGAATTCGATGCAATCCTAGGGATGGATTGGCTAGAAAGGAACCATGCTAGGGTAGATTGCTACACGAAGGTTCTTGAACTCGAAGGCAATGATGGGGAGACCCTACGCTTCGAGGGCGATCGAGGGAGATCAAATAGCTGTATCATATCCGCCGTGAGAGCGAGAAGTATGATGAGAAAGGGATGCCACGCATATCTAGCATACGTGGTTGACAAAACCAAAGAGGAAACGAACATCGATGACGTGAGGGTGGTTTGTAAGTATCTGGATGTCTTCCCTAAAGGCCTACCGGGGCTTCCACCTGATAGGGAGATTGAATTTGTGATCGAGGTTGAGCCCAGTACCAAACCAATCTCCATACCGCCATATCGTATGGCACCCGCTGAGCTTAACGAGTTGAAAACCCAATTGCAAGAGCTTTTGGATAATGGTTTCATTAGACCCAGCCACTCCCCGTGGGGGGCACCAGTTCTTTTTGTGAAGAAGAAAGATGGGACACTTCGAATGTGCATTGACTATCGTCAACTGAACAAGGTCACAATCAAGAATAGGTATCCTCTGCCTAGGATTGATGACCTGTTTGATCAACTACGAGGAGCAACCGTGTTTTCGAAGATTGACTTGAGGTCGGGGTACCATCAATTGAAGATTAAGGAAGATGACATACCAAAGAGTGCTTTCCGCACAAGGTATGGGCATTTTGAGTTCCTTGTTATGTCGTTTGGGTTAACAAACGCCCCAGCGGCATTCATGGACTTGATGAACCGAGTATTCCATAAATACTTGGATCGATTCGTGATTGTGTTCATCGATGACATCTTGATTTACTCAAAGAGTGAAGAAGAGCACGAGGAGCACTTGATACTTGTTCTAGAGACACTACGGGAGAAGCAACTTTATGCCAAATTTTCTAAATGTGAATTTTGGCTAAAGGAAATTGGCTTTCTCGGGCACGTGGTTTCGGGATCGGGAATTGCTGTTGATAACAAGAAGATAGAAGCCATTACCGGAAGGGAGAGGCCAAAGAACGTCAAGGAAATTCGTAGTTTCCTTGGATTGGCAGGCTACTACAGAAAGTTCGTGGAGAAGTTCTTCGTTTTGGCATCGCCATTGACGAAGCTCACTCGTAAAGGAGCTAAGTTTGTATGGGATGACAAATGTGAGAAAGGGTTCATGGAACTAAAGAAGAGATTGACTGAGGCACCGGTACTTGCATTACCTAAACAAGGTGTGGGGTACGATGTCTATAGCGATGCGAGCATCCAAGGGCTTGGATGTGTACTGATGCAGAATGGGAGGGTAATCGCCTATGCTTCACGACAGTTGAAGAAGCATGAAGTGAATTATCCTACTCATGATTTGGAGCTGGGGGCAGTGGTGTTTGCACTAAAGATATGGAGACATTATCTCTACGGGGAGACATGTCACATATACACTGATCACAAGAGCTTGAAGTACGTGTTTACTCAGAAAGAGCTAACATGAGACAGAGACGGTGGATGGAGCTGATAAAAGACTACCATCTAGTGATAGAGTATCACCCAGGCAAGGCAAACGTGGTGGCAGATGCTTTGAGCCGGAAGAGCTCGTCTGGGGCATTGCTAGCTAATTTGAGGGCATTAAGAGCCCAACTGGAGGTATCCAGCGATGGTGCCTTATTGGCACGATTCGAAGTGAGACCGACCTTACTTGATGAGATCAAGAAGGGTCAAGAGACTGACGCAGAATTTATGAAGGTCCGGGAACGCATGCAAGCGGGACTGGTGGAGGATTTCAGGGAAAGAGATGACGGTCTCTTGTTATTTCGTGACCGAGTGTGTGTGCCGTCAGATGATGAGCTCCGAAAGTCCATCTTAGAGGAGGCTCATTCATCGGCTTATGCCATGCACCCGGGGGGCACGAAAATGTACCGTGATTTGAAAGAAAGTTACTGGTGGTCTGGAATGAAGAGGGAAATAGCCGAGTACATCAGTCGATGCCTTACTTGTCAACAAGTTAAGGCAGAACATCAGCATCCAGCAGGCTTGTTACAACCACTTTCCATTCCTGAGTGGAAGTGAGAACATGTGACTATGGATTTCGTGGTAGGTTTACCACGGACAATTCGGAACTACGATGCAGTTTGGGTTGTTGTGGATAGGCTCACAAAGAGTGCACACTTCTTGCCTATCAACACTACCTACCCACTTGAGAGGTTAGCCAAATTGTATACGGATGAGATCGTGAGGCTGCATGGGGTCCCAGTGACCATTGTATCCGATAGAGACCCACGATTCACATCACGTTTTTGGCCGAAATTTCAAGAGTCTATGGGAACGAGGTTGAAGTTCAGTACTGCATTCCATCCACAGACGGATGGGCAGTCTGAAAGGGTTATACAGATCTTAGAGGATATGCTGAGGGTTTGTGCGTTAGAGTTCCAAGGAAGTTGGGACAACCACTTAGCACTCGTGGAGTTTTCCTATAACAACAGTTATCAGGAAAGTATCGGCATGCCTCCATATGAAGCATTGTATGGGAGGAGGTGTCGTACACCGTTATGCTGGGACGAGGTTGGCATGGCCAAACTCGAGGGTACTGAGTTGGTTGAGATCACCAAGTCAAAGGTGAAGTTGATTCGAGAGAGACTCAAAGCGGCTCAGGATAGACAAAAGAGTTATGCGGATAAGCGTCGAAGAACCTTAGAGTTTAAGGTTGATGACGAGGTATTCTTGAAAGTTTCTCCTTGGAAAGGAATCATTCGATTCCAAACCCGAGGGAAGCTTAACCCACGATACATAGGTCCATTCAGAATTATAGAGAGGATTGGGGCCGTTGCATATCGTCTACAGTTGACTCCTGAATTAGAGAAGATACATAATGTGTTTCATGTATCCATGCTTAAGAAGTATGTACATGATCCCTCCCACGTATTGGAAAAGCCGCCTGTAGAGGTACGTGAGGATCTGAACTACGCTGTGCAACCAATCAAGGTCACCGATAGAAAGGTGAAGAAACTGAGGAGCAAAGAAGTCCCAATGGTTAAAGTACTTTGGAAGAGCGATCGGGTCGAAGAAGAGACTTGGGAAACAGAGGCTTTGATGAGGAAGCAGTATGCTTTCCTATTCGAGTAGAGCTGTGAATTTCGGGGACGAAATTCCTGTTAAGGGGGGGTGAACTTGTGACATCGCACCCGAACGTCCTTGAAAATTCAACTTAAATTCAAATTTATGTATTGAATTTCCGATCTCCAAACAATTGTAAACGATTAATGTTCTACGTAGTGCATGGTTAAATAGCGTACTGTTCAAACTCGTACATTACTTATTCGGGACTTATTAATAAATAAAAGAGCCCAACATTATCCAAATAGTGATACATAGTCTTTCAAGACAATTTGAGGAAGGTCGGGCGGCCCAAACATTATTTTGGGCCCAACCTGCTAAAAATAGCAAGTATTCGGGAATGGCGTTCTAGACCCACTCGGGAGTGACCCACACGGCTAGTAGCCCAATAATATGCATGACAAATGTCAAATAAGTGATAGAATGACTAAAGAAGAATACAAATGCCTATAACCAAATCTTTGGCATTATTGAGCTAAATAATGGGAGTAGGATTTTCCTTCTATAATATCCACCAAGTAAATTATTGAGATGAGCCTACACATATTGGAGATCAATAATGTGATTTAGGAAGTTGACTTGTTCTAAATAAATTAGGATGAGTACAAAAAGACATCTTTGACAAAAGATAAAACAATAGGACCCATCTTCCTATTTTTGGAAGTATTGGTGGATATTTTGGACCCCAAGATGAATGGGATAAATTGGGAACCATTCCACATGGACTTAGTACCTGCAAAACAAATGAAAAGAGGTGAGAAGACTATATGGGGTGGACTCTTGGCTCACATGCACAAAAACTCCAAGAGAAAACAAAAGGGGGAGGTCCACCCCATATTTGATTGCAAACCAAATATCTCCCATGTTCTTTTGTGAGCCACATACTCTTTTAGCATGTTTAGGGTCTCCTAATACACTCCCCCTACACCCCATTCGAACCCCCAAAGAGATAAGAGAGCAAGGGAATCCACACAACCCAAGAGAGAAGGAAGGAGGAGAGCAGTCCGCAGGTTCGTTCTCCAGTGCGTAGCTCTGATTGTTTGAGCCATAACTTGAGATTTACTCATCCAAATAAGGCGTGCGAGATACCAACAGAAAGCTCTCAAGACGAGGAATCCGTGAAGGTCTGGTTTGCATCAATCGGAGTAGTGGAAGGCTTCCAAATCGACCGAGAAAAACACGACCTCGCAGGATACGTTTTTTGTATTCAAAGTAAGTTTGAATCCAAAACCTTCCTCTCTATTGTCTAAACCATATAAATGATTGAAGAACTATTATACACTGATTGAAGTGTATAAAATGTTATTATAAAGTGACTTTAATTGTTGGAAAAGTTAGATACTAATCTAGACAAAACCTTGAAAGGTTAGGGAACGATTTCATCGGGAAACACCCGTTCTAGGGACTGTTTTTGTGTCTTCGGTTAGGAGTTGAACTAGCACTTTGAAGAGGCTGTTTAACACTCAATTCCAAGCAAGGAATCAGTTCTCAATCTTCCTTGGCCGGGGCTTTGGTCATTGGATCGAGAAGGAAAGTCTTAAAGCTCATTTGAGGTGAGGATTGACATCTAATTGCTTACAACTTGTAGGTTAAGCATGAGATTACCTAAATGCCTAAATCATAATTTTTATGGATTATGATGATTATATAATGATGAAATATGGATATAGTTGCCAAAGAATGAAATTGGAAATGATTTGAGAATGTATGAATAAAATGAGATTAAATGAGTTATAAATGAACTATTTTGTGAAATAGACATTTTACTCATGTATGAATTATGTAGGTACATAAATGAATGTTTATGTATTGAGATTGAACACTTAAGTTGCTACTACATAATTATAAATATGTAGAGGATTACAAATAATGAGCATATATGTATGATAACAATAATCTTAATAGTATTGAAATACTAGTTAGTGATTATTGGAAATTGTTGATGGAATTGATCCTAGGGATTGGATTGTATGAAATGCACTTGAATATACTTCAAATGTGTATGATGACTTAGTATGAAACTAAGGTTAAGTGGTGGGAAGTCTTTAAGGACGACCCATGGTAGTTTATTGATATGTCAATTCTAGGCATAGGGTTGCTTAAGAATTGGACCTTCATGCATGGTGATGTGATAGAGCCGAGCTCTAGGATGCATGGTAAGGTGGTAGACTTGTAGTCTATGTACTGAATAGCTAGAGCCGAGCTCTAGGGCTTGCGTGGTGATGTGATAGAGCCGAGCTCTAGAACGCAAGGTAAGGAAATTGACCCGAGGGACATGAATTGTATGGTGATGTGGTAGAGCCGAGCTCTAGATTACAATGTCATGTGTCAGGGTTGGACTCTATGAATTGTCGTGGCTTATAGCCACGGGGAATGGGAACGGTGATTTCTAAATGAACATGGGCCCACGGGCCGACTACTTGACTTTTACATAAAGTAAGTATATTTTCAAACGGGGTAACTTAGGGTTACAAATCATAATGTACTATCACCCTATTTGAGGGTCTTGTGTTTGAAATACTTGTTGTATATCTATTAGATGCCTGCCACACCAGTACTTTATAGCCGTATAGAGTACTGACCCCTTCGGGGGCGTCCCACCACCATTTCAGGTTGAGGCTAGAGCTTGCATCCTGTGCTCGTTGATCGAGTGATCCCTCAGAGAGAAGACTTGGTTCGTGCTTCCTCCATTCTATTTGAAACATTAATGAATTTGCTCATGGACATTTTACTATAGAGCCTGCGTGCTCATGAATAGCCCTGTGTGGCTCTTTTGTTTTAAACAATGTTTTCCGCTGCGTTATGAATTACTTATTATGTTTGTTTATTAATGTTATATGTGTGAATGATATTCATGACGCCTTGTATAATATGAATGTGTTGGACTGCGGTTGACTATTCGTATTGTACGGCGGGTTGTTGACGTGTCCGGGTAGGTCCGGGGCGTGACATTTCCAATGTATGACGATAACCCCATAGATCCGAAAATGGAATACAACGAGGTTAGTACTTTATTTTATGCCTTATTTAATGAGTTTCATGCACAATATGGCAACACACCCCCTCCCCCGACACGAACATCTTCATCTAAAAGAAAATCAATTTTTAAATCTGCATTTGGCAATCTTATGAAAAAACTAAAACAACTCACCCTACTGAACAAAGCGCAATAAATGAGATTACTTTGTATTTAACATATGAAGTTGAATTTGAAGAAAATGATGACTTTGACGTTCTAAAATGGTGGAAGTCAAAAGAAAGAATGTTCCCGATTTTAGCACGGATGGCTAAGCAAGTGCTATCAATGCCGGTTTCAACAGTTGCCGTGGAACAAGAATTTAGTTCGACCGGCAACGTCTTAACGGCATCTAGAACAAGATTGAGCGCAAACTCTCTTGAGACGCTTATATGCTACCACGATTGGTTGAAGGCTGCACGAAGAACTCATGAAATGAGCATCACCCCCTCCCAAGACTTTATGGATGACTCAACAACCGATGGTGGCTCTATCTATGCCGGAGATTCTGATTTATTAGTATTTTACAATTTATTATAAAATGTATTTCATGTTTTAATCTTTCCCTCAATTCTCAATTGTAATTTGTAAACTTGTACTTCATATTTCAAATAAATATGCGTTCATTTTTTCATATGAAGCACTTCTCAAATTAATTATTTGGTTACAAACTTACAACTTACAATTAATTGTTTTTAATTTACTTGAAAATGTATTTCATATTGTAATTTTTTTCTCAATTCTCAAATGTAGTTCCTATTTCAAATAAATGCACTTGAACTTTGTTTTTAATAAGCATTTGTTTATGTTAGAGATATTTTTATTGTAATTGTGATCAATGTTACTTTGCTAGTTTATAGTTAATTAGAATAATGAATAGGCCTTTTAAGGCAATTTGTAATAAAAGGTTTTATACCTTTTTAGGTATGGGCCTCCTAGGAAAAGGAGCCCAAATGATTGTAAAACCTACCTTTCCCGTCAGGCTATAAATATGCCTTAAGGGAAAGGCTAGGTTAAGCTTTTCGATATTCCTAGTGCCGCAGTGCCTATTCTCGTGATAGAAGTTTTACGCTAACATTCATATCATTCTGTAAACTTCTTCATCACATCAATGGAAAGCTTCATTCCCAGATCTATCTTCCATACATACATTTTATAGAAAAAAAATTCAATTGACCCAGCCCGGCCTGGCGGTGGCCCGACCCGTGACCCGGCCCGAACCGGCACCGGCCATAGCACGGGCTGGTCCCGGGCCTCCCTCAAAAAAATTTAGGCCCGGCCCGGGTCCATGACTAAACACGAGTAGTAAGATATATTACCCAAAATAGTAGTAAAAAGGTTTGAAAATTTCAAAACAGGGTTGTCATGTTTTTATTCCCAAAAAAGACAAATTACTGCAATGTTTTGGTAGTACCAGAATTCAAACAAAGCACACACATTTATTGATCTATTATGTATTCTATGTATGTATGTTGCAATTTATTGCATGATTATATGTTTTTACAGGCTATTAGTAGTAATTAACTTTTATTTTTATGTAACCTAATATTTTTCTAACTTAAATTTTTTATATTGATAAAACAAATAAATATTCATCTCAGCTATATCACACAGGACGTATGTATATTCATAAACTTTTTTCAAACTAGTCACAAATAATGTAAATTAAGACATGTCTACCGCATACTCATATAATTAATTCAAGACAAATTTGTTTATTATTATTTTCTTTATTTATTCAAGTATGCTTGCATTCTTATGTGATATGTTTGATCCCTCCAACTTTTATATCAATTTTAAATCAAATGACATTTTTTAGTAAAAAACCGAAAAAACCGAAACCGAACCGAAACAAACCGAACCGATCAAACCGTGGTTCCAAGTTTTGGAGTGTAAAACCGAACCGGAACTGAACTGAACTTTTACTTTGGTTCCGTATTTGGTTTTAGGTCAAAACCGAACCGAAAGAACCGAGCCCACCCCTAGGATACGGACAGAGCGGAAGTGCCTAGCATTTCAATCTAGGGTTTCTTTGGGCCGGCAAGTGTTCGGCGGACAGTTTGTTTGGGTGGTGCAATTAATGCCATAGAACAGATCGGTTGTTGATCGATTCTCTTGCTCCCCTTTGTTGCTCCGGCGATCCAAATCAGCTAGGTGGATCTTTGGCTCTCTCATCGCAGGCTAGAATTGCAGAAGGGTAGGCCTTGGATGAAGAACTGTTTTGCGACCAAGGAGGGAGCGATGGTCAAGAACTCTTGGTGGTGCAGATCCGATTTCGGCCAGTGTGGTGTGCGATTAACTATTTTGGCCCTGATGGTGATTGTGTTGAGAGCTGTACCAGTTGTGTTTGATCCGGGTGGAACGCCGACCGTTCGGATCTCGGTTAAAGGGGGCGAATTTGGGCTCCAATCGGCTATTGGGGGATCGATGCGGTTACTTTGGCCGCCTCCGGTGGTGGAGGAAGAAAATGTTTTGTGGATGGCTCGTCCCCCTCCCGAACCGCCGCCATTGAGGAAGTGCTTAACTAGGCTCTGGAATATGGTGCTTGAAGAATGGTCTCCATTGTTCTACAAGCTAAAGTTTGGAGGGAGAAATAAGGCATGAAGCCATGAAGACTTTAATTATTCTTACATTTTTTACTTTTTGATTGCTCATATTGCTTTTACTTTCGTTATGAACTCTAGAGGTAGGTTGGTGTCTAGGTTTTTATGTTTTACTCAGGAATCAGGATGTTACTGATGTGCACTTTGTCGTGTGTGCACTCAAAATAAATCGATACTAACACTTATACGTAGTATAGGTGAAGTAGAGTTCGTATCCACAGGGAAAGGAGTAATTTATCTTTTTAATGAAAGGAGTAAATAAAGGGGGGTTTTGATTGTTGAGTGATTTAATTAAATTAAACACGAAGATGAACGAGTTATATGGGATTAAATTCAAGAATAAAAGGGACTTGGTCATGCTACTTTCCACTTGTTGATATATTTTAGTCGATCATTGTTATATCTATAACTTATCCCCTCTCGAATACTCAATCGCGGAGTATCTCCAATTCATCGAGGGTAGTTATTAACAACGACCGTTCATTAATAACCCTTACTATTTATCAAATATAGAACAACGCCGTATACCGATATAATAGTAGCATTTAACCTCTTTAACTCCTTGATGAAATCAATTAAGATTGATAACCTCAACACAACGGTTTCGGTTTAACCAACAAAATTAATCCCTCTTAAGTTTATTAACCACGACCGTGCATTAATAAACCGAAGTTACTTACTTGTGAAACCATCAACGTTTAACCATCGGTTCGTTGATCGTTTCTAGTAATAATCAATGTCGGAACGTTAACTAATCGTCACTCAGCCACCCTCCAACATTAATATAGAATGAGATTAAGGGAAGAATTAATAATCAAGAGGAGAAAGTAAGAAAATAACTCACAACTTTAATAATCAACAAGCTTCAAGAGCAAAACCAAGAAATGGAAGTTTAGCTCCTCATTTGGAGACTAAACATGCTATAAAAATATAAGAAATAACTATTCTAAACTGAGCTTAAGTATATGGAAGAAGGGATGCCTTATTGTGAAGGAAGAAGGGTGTATTTATAGGGAAATGAAGATGGCAGGATCATGTACCCGACCGGGTGTTTGGGGTACCCGATCGGGTACTCGGTTGGTTCCGAGAAGTGAGAAAACGTCACCTCATACCCGACCGGGTGTGTCGGTATACCCGATCGGGTATGAGATCGGATTTTTCAGATATTTTGTTCCCACGATCCTTTGTTTTCCGGGATTTGATTTGGACAACGAAATCGGGTCAATACCCGACCGGGTATAGCAAAGACCCGACCGGGTATATGAACTCTTTCCCAAATCAATTTCTGATCTTGTTTCCTTGCACACCTTTTGGTCTTTGGGATCCATTTCTTGATCCTTTGAGTGCTTTCAACCTGTCCTATGCTCAGAAAAATCCTAATCTAAACACTTTACATCAATTTAAATAAAACAAAACATTACACCAAAAGTGTGTAATTTCCAAGCTAGTGAATCACAAAACTAATTAAAAACGTACAAGTTCAAATGGAAATTACACACAGATCAGTTACTATGGGTGGAAGCGATAAGACTTGTTTGACCGTTAAAAACTTTGAAGCTCTCACATGGTTCGCGAATAGTCTCGCTCCTTTCGGGGCGCTCTATTCTATGTCTAGCCAGAGAGTGGGAGGGCCTTTTGGCTATGCAGAGGTTTGGCGATGTATGTTTGGAAGATCGTTGAGAATTTGCGTTGATATAATATAATCAGTTTCCTTAAAAAAATCATTTTACAGTCACACTTACTATAAATAACTATCAATAACTATAAGTAATGTTGCTGCAACCCGCAACACAAGTATTTATCTTGCACTTTGTGCTCAAATTGCTCATTTTTTTGGAAACAAGCTTAAATTCAATAATCTCTCACTTTTTAGTATATTCACACACTCAACTTGACATTGACATTTCAATCTCATTCATTTTCTGAATATGGGGGTGTTTGGTTAGTGGCCTATCAGTCATTTTTTGGCTGATTTGACTGATTTTGGCCTTTTGACCAACTCAATCAGCTAATTAGAGTGTTTGGTTAAATAACTTTTCTATTTAGCTTTTTGTTCCAAACAGCCAACATACTAAACGCCACTATCCTTAGCGTTTTGGGCATGACTGTTTCTATTACTCCCTCCGTCCCATTTTGGTTGTCCTACTTTCCTTTTTGGGTTGTCCCAAAATGAATGTCTTGTTTCCTTTTTTGGATGAAATATGTGGTTCTTATCAATTCACTTTATTCTACTCAAATCTCAACCACAACTTTTACTTTTCAACCACTTTATTAATAATCGTGCCAAATTGAAAGTGGACAACCATTATGGGACGGAGTAGTACAATCTTGTTTTCCTATTTTATCCTAAGCAGCTATTGATTCTTTTTCCGATAAACTGTTTCTCGTCTGCCATAATAATCAAAATCACACTTGTCGGTAGTTTAATGATCACCATGGGCCATAGTAGTAGTGGACAATTTGACTTCTATTTACCTCACATTTATATAAGAATTTTTGCTCCTAGAAAAATCATTTTATAAATAATAACTCAAACATAAACCTTTGGCGACTTAACAAACGAAAGACTAGTGACCTCAAAACAAAAATTAAAGACTAGAGACGGTAGTGTTTAACAAATTAAACATTTGTATAAGGAGTTTTGCTCATAACTAAATTAAAAATACTAATTCAATTTATTAATTCGTGAAAATGTTTAAAATAATTATTATTTGTGTTAATACATTTTATTATTTTTAACTCATAAGAACGATTTAGTAAAAAAAAACTCATTAAAACGGTTTACGTAGTTGTGCTAATTACATTAATAAAAATTAATCCATGTCCTTAATAGTCATTTACTAAGTTATCAGCTGATTGTAAACAGCAATTTAACCAAACATTATTTTACAAACTGTTAATCTCATCAGCTAACCAAAACAGCCAACAGGATCTGCTGTCATCAAACAGCTAACACAACCAGCCAACAGCCAATGGCCAACAGCTAATTGCCAAACAGTGAAACACCCCCATGATATGGTTTCACCATCCTAATCCTCTATTATATATCATTTAAGAAAATTCACATATCATCAAAGGTATTTTAAATTAAATTGATTTCGGTCCCAAACGAGATCTAATCAATTCTGATTAGATTAGATTAAACTAGACCAAATCAGAATCAGATTAAAAAAATCATAACATCGTGGGTCGGGGCCCAAAGCTCTGTTTCACAAGTGCGCTTTTGGGCCGTTGTCTTTCACTTGTTTTCGCTGCAACAATTACCGGATCCTTCGCTGCCCGCCGAGCAAACGTTCGACCATTTGCCTAAAAGAAGCCTTGAGCAGCGGAGAAGGAAGTCATGAGTGCCGGGAAGTTGAAGAACTTGCTGGCATCGGTAGCCATCGGAGGAGTGGCCGAGGCGAGGGCGAGCATATTTGGCCACGTGCTTAACCCCACGGGCGAAAGATCTGCTCATAAAATTCTGCGCAAGAAGCTGATTGGAGATAAGGTTTCGCAGTGGTATCCCCACGACATCAGAAAGGACGATCCTCTCATCATGGCTCGAGAAGAACAAGAGTATTTCCTTCCTCTGATCTCCTATCTGAGTTTATTCTGAAATCCAAATTGTTTGTATTCTTCATACTACACTGAAACAATGCACTGGCTTTTGTATATGGTTGTGTTTCTTCGCTGCATCAAATATACTGTTTGAGTTCTTGGCTGTGCTTATCATATGTTTGGTGAAGTATAGTTTCTGAATCATTCTTGTATGCTTACTTGTGCTCTGTTATTAAGAAGTATATATATCCTCAAAACATTTCAAATCACTTCGTGCTTAATAGAATCAAAATTAGGAATAGAATCCTTGTAGACTTCTAGTAGACCTCTGGCTGGAATGATATTAGGATTTAATTGAGTTGAAGGGATAAATTTTTTCAACCATATATTTCAAGTGTCATGGAGATGCTTTTTTTAGTAAAGAAATTTCTTTCAGACAAATCCACTCTAAGCATTTGGTATTTCATTAAAACTTGACATAGTTGACATAGATAAATGCTATTGTTGGAGTTTCAAGTGAAAATATGATCTCAAGAGTTATGGGCTTAGATAGCTAATGCTGAATTGCTGATATATCTACACTTTGTAAAAGGACTTCCTCTGGACCCCATTCCCCCAACAATCATTTGGTTCAAGGAGATGAACACTGTCTGGAATGTGCCAACTGCTAACCTGAGTCTTAATATTGGAATATTGGATAAGTGCATGTATAAGATGAAGAAACCAAAATGACTCCCTGTTGTCAACTTTGGAGTTCAAATATATTAGCCACTCCTTTTTATTTGTTCTTAGCTGGTTCCTGCTTTGCTTCACAAAGTGACGGAATTAAAGCTAGAACTATTGTTGGTCACTAATAGACACTTCCTCTGGTTCACAATATGTGTCATAATTTAGAAATCACTCAGATTGAGTTACTAAATGAAGATAAACATCACAATGCTCCCCTTAGTAACAATATTTAATTATCATTGAAGATTATTTTTTGTTTTTCTTAGGTGTTAAAGATTGAAACCATGAAAAATAGCATTATATATTGTCTTGGATTTTATAGAAAAAATGATGAATCATCTTTTCCCTCCAAAACAACACTTGTCAATTGGAGGTAGTTGTAATTATTAGCACCGAGGGCAAGGAGACTGAGAAACTAACATTGAAATGCTTAGTGATGCTTTCCAATGTCGTTGTTTGTTCGTACTTCTATCTACAAATGAACAGAGTAGTGTTAGCTTTTAATACAATCATATGATGATGATATAAACATTTTTTAATATCATTATTCTCAATGGTTTTTGATTTAACAGGCGCTTAAGTAAGCTTGAAATGTTGAAGCGCCGAGGTAAGGGACCACCTAAGAAGGGGCAGGGAAGGCAAGCAAAGAAGCGGAACAAATAGGCATTGTCTCTAGATCGTCTAGTAATAGTTGACCATGCATTAGTGTTTTGGTATTTCATAGCTAGTTTTTCTCTCTATGTGGTATTTTTTGTCATGGTCAGACTATATTTACTACTATCTGTCCTGGAAAAACAAGTTATGTTTGTAATAATGATTTTAATACTGAGATCAGAGGTTTGTTTTTTGTGCAGACGGATTACTTTATTGAACAACAGAAACTCTTTAAAATGTAATGAGTAATGACAATGCCAACATTCGGTTTTTTATTATCAGACTCTCTAGTCTCTAGCCTTGATAAGAGAAAGATTTTATGTACACCCTTCTAGGATGTGTTATTTGTGAGCCATATCTTCTCGGCTTCAGATATGGCCAAATATCTTAAGAACTTGAAAATGGGATTGAACTGTTTGGTTGGTAAAGACATTAACAGACTAATGAATATTAACTCTGCATCTGATTTCAATTGTTAAATATTCATTTATGAGGGTAATGAGGTGAACTACTTGATACGCTCTCATTTACCTGACACTTGAAAGAAAAATAAAAATGTTCTCAAATACTCTTTAAATCTTCATTTTAAAGATTAGGAACTTCCATTTTGCACTTTTTATCATCAGACTCTGGCCTTGAATCCCTTGATGAGGTAAAGATATGATCATATAATGTATACCACTTTTATATGGGTATATGCTCTTTATATCATCAGACCCGACACAGTTCCCATCCCCAGAAAGGAAATATTGGAGTCAGGCCCGGAGCTTTTATTTACAGTTCCGGTCCGGTCTTGGTTGACTGGCCGGTCTACCAGCATGATTTTTTTCTTTGATTACATGTCTGTAATTACAAGTAATAACATGTAAGCATTATATTGACATGAACATGTCTATTAGAGTTCGTTAAATATAATTTAAACAACAAATCTTTCAGCCCACTCCAGTCTCCAACGGTATATTCTACGGAGTACTTGAATTCAAAAACAAGAATATTAGGGCCCGTTTACTAACAGAGATATTTTCCTGTTTTCTACTTCTGTTTTTCGTTCTCCAATTTTCTGTTTTTATTTTTCAGTTTTTCTATCTCCAATTTTCTGTTTCTATTTTTTAGTTTTCCATTTTCAAATCTAAAAACATGTTCATCAATTTTTTTACCCAGATCTCCAATTCCACACCCTTGACCCCTACCCTTACCACGATCTTGCACTCTACCCATACTCCCCCACAACCCTTCATACCCATCCATACCTACTCGTAGCGGTCGGGGTAGGGAAGTTATGGGTGGGGGTGGGGTAAGGGGTATGGTCGGGGTGGGGTGGTAAGGTCTAGGGGTAGGGGGTTGGGTGGGGGGTAGTGGGTGGGTTAGGGTCGTGGTTAGGGGTAAGGGTGGGGTAGTGGGTAGGGTTTGGGGTAAGGTAGAGGTAGGGTATGGAGTTGGGATAGGATGGCGGCAGGGTGGTGCCGGGACCGGGGTGGGGCCGAGGTAGGGAAGGGGTGGGGGTAGGATGGCGGTAAGGGTGGGGGGTAGTGGGTAAGGTTGGGGTAAGGTAGGGGTAGTGGGATAGGATGGCGGTAGGGTGGGCCCGGGAACTGGGTGGGGCCGAGGTAGGGGAAGGGTAGGGTGGGGGTAGGATGGTGGTAGGATGGCGGAAGTATGGGTGGACTCGAACCGGTTCGAGCCCGGGTCGGGCCTCCGGTTCAGGAATGGGGGGCCCGGAACAGTGCCGGGCCGGGCCGGTTCCGGGTTGGGCCACCCGGCCCGAGTCCACCTCTAGGCGGAAGGGTGCTGGTAGGATGGCGGTACGAGGGTGGGGGTAGGATGGCGGTGGGGTGGGGGCGAGGTAGGCGCATGTGGTAAGGGGTAATATACGGGTCGGGGTAGGGTAGGGTGGGTCGGGGTGGGGTCGAGGTGGAAGGGGGGTGGCGGTAGGGTGGATCGGGGTGGGGCCGAGGTAGGGGCATGTGGTAGGGGGTGGGGTAGGGTCATTATAGGGAAAAATGGGTATGCGGGGTGGGATTGGGTGGGTAAGGTAGGGTAGGGTAGGGGTAAGGGGTAAGGGGTAAGGTACGAGAATGGAGGTACCGGAATGGAATCGAAATCGGAGCGGGACTGGACCCACCACTAGGTGTACGTATGCAAATTCATTGCAACGGCACTGTAGCATCTGCGTTTTCCAAATTTGGAAAACTAGTAAAAGTCACTTCTCCAAATCATTAAGGAAAAGAGAGACATGTCTCATTTTTTCCGTTTTGGAAAACGATTTGGTAAACGCGTTTTTCTTTTTTCCTTTCTCCAGTTTTCCAGGAATTTCTTTGGTAAACACGTTTCCTGTTTTCAGTTTTCCAGTTTTCTGGAAAACTGGAAAATATCTCTGTTAGTAAACAGGCCCTTATGTTTTTCTCTCTACAAAGGATCCCGTAATCCTGAAATTTAACTAGGCCTGGGATCGGTTCGGTTCCTAGGCCAAATATGTGGAACCGTTTGAAAATATGAAATTTTACTAACGGTTCGGTTCTTATAAATTATTTTATAGAACCGATAAGGAACCGAACCGTTCTTAACGGTTCGGTTCTTGTCATTTAACGGTTCCTAGTCTTCGAAAAAATTCTTACAAATCATGACTAAATTTTTGCCAAAAAGACATTCTACGTTTGAAATTACGATACAAATATGCTTAAACAGTTAAAGAGAATAATAATTTTAAATACTTGGACCCTCAAAGTTCCGACCCACTGGAGTTTGGACCTAATGAGAGGCCTAAGAAGCCTAAGAGAACCGGTTGAAGTGAATAATAGTTTTAAATAGTTGAATAACTAAACAAAAATAATGAATGTAATATAAAAATAAGTAAGTAAATATACATTAAAATATATATGCTCATAAGAAATATATATAATTTTAATTATTATATATAACGGTTCCTTAATGGTTCCTAGTACATATTTTTTTTAGGAACCGAGAACCGAACCATTAATAAAAAATAGGAACCGAACCGTTAAAAAATAACTAATAAATGTTGGAACCGAACCGAACCGGGTCATAACGGTTCGGTCCGGTTCGGTTCTCCGGTTCTTGGTTCCAAAGTCCCAGCCCTAAATTTAACTACCATATTTTGGCATTATCAAATTTTAATATATATGACAATGTTACTCCCACCATGATTGACGGTATTTCCAAGCATTACATTAGTTACTCTTATTTTCACTCTGGGTCATCCAAAAACAGTCTCTCCGTGCTTTAGTACAGGGGTAAGACTGCGTACATCCGACCCTCTGTACCCCATCGCAGGTGGGAGCCTTTGCGGCACTGGGGTAAATGAAAATGATGATGACATTAGTTACTCCAATTTAGGAATAAATATAATCATCGTCGTCATATCATCATCATTGTTGGTATTATTAAATATTATACGGAGTAATTATTACTCCGTATAATGATAGCTAATTTTAAATAATACGACCTATATATAATCACACTAAAGAGTAGAGTCACGGTTCCACAGTAGTCACATGACTCTGGCTATGTTTGGTAAATGGCTTATCAGCCATTTTTTGGCTGGTTTGACTGAGTTTAGCTTCTTTGACCAATTGACCAGCTAAATAACATGTTTGGTAAAGAGCTTCTTGAATTGGCTTCTTCATCCCAAGCAGCCGAAAAATTGGATGGTTGGAAACGTTGAAGGTTGCAGCGTTTCATGTTGGCTGGTTCTATCATCTATTAATATTTACTAAATGCTCCTTATATACGTAGTTGTACGTTTCTCTTATCTCTTATAATGCCTAATGCACTAGGTAACACTGCACGTAGACTTAATTAGCATAATAGCATTAGCATATACTCCGTTTTACGATAGTATATTCTTATACTATTACTTTTTTAGTTTACTTTTTTTTATCTTTTCTTTTTACAATTACTAAATTAAGTAAACGTGTCCGCCAACATTTTTCACAAGCTTGAAGTGGGTGATAATTAAAATTATCTCTAGATCATATTTAAATTTTCACCTTTATCCTTTGGTTTTTGTTTTTTTACCTCTATCCTTTTTTATACGATAGTATATAATTTCTTTGCAATAGAAATTACAACGTATAATTTTTGAAATGCTTAAATAGAAACTAGATTAAATACTAATGTCCTTATACGTCTTTTTACTAGCAAACAACTATTCTTAAACAGCTAATTTACCAAACATTTACTGACAACAAGCTAACATAATCAGTCAACTAAAACAGCTAAAACAACCAGCTATTGTCAACCAGCTATCATTACCAGCTAACAGCTAACAGCTAATTGCCAAACAAGGCCTCTGAGTCTCTAAATGAAGTCATGTTTATTTTCATCTACTACTTCTGTCCCAATATGATTTGTAAATTTGACTTTTCTGAGTCAAACAGTTTTGTTTTATACACTCCATTAGGATAGATGTCAATTTTTTATTATATTATAGTTTGGAGTTTACAACTTTGAAGAGATTTTAATGTAGTTTATGAATATGTAAATTTTAATTATTAAAAATTGAATTAATTATCCATAAGGAGGATTGACTTTTATTATTGGTTGACCAAAAAATGTTGACTTTGCAGAACAAATTAGGACGGAGGGAGTATTTGCTAATCAACTCATTAGCATCATCACTTTATATACTTCACGATAAATATTCAAATAATATAACTACCATATTATCGTTATCCATATTTGTATAATTACGATTATCATTCTTATAAGCCTTATCGCTACCATTATACGAAGTATTACTTAGTATTACTGTTATTAATTATTACTTCGTATAAAATAATAGCTACCAACAACCTACATATATGTATAATAATAGTAACATACAAATATTATTATTAATAACAATACATTTATAATATATAGACGTAGTAATAATATTATCATCAATAATAACACTAGCAACACCATATGATGTTTTATTAATTAATAATAACATACAAATAATGATAATTATATTAATAAAATCATTCATAATTATTTTTCATGGAAACAACCTAAACTAATAACATACCAATAATAATAGTATTAATAATAATAATAGTAAAATTAATATTAATAATAATAATAATATAGTGTAGTAACATTATTATTTTATAATATTAATAGCAAGAACCTATGCTTTTATATTTATAATAAAAAAACAACAACACGCTAAATAACAATAACAACAATAATATTGATAATAGTATTAATTGCTAATAGTAATAATAATACGGAGTATATATAAGTAATAAATCATGTCTGAATTTTTCTGATCAAGTCTAAATGTTTCTGATATGATCTGATTTTTTTTTATATGATCTAATCGATCCGATTTGAATTTTCTAATTTGATTTGAATATTTCTGATCTGATTTGATCTATATTTTTTATCTGATTTAATTTGAACAAAACAAGAATAAGCAATAAGAAAAGACAAACACAACAACTACTTACCATAAAAATACTTAAAGTGCTACACTGCTACTTATGCTAATGAGCTCGCTAGCTATCATGTAAAAATATCTTCCTTGATTTTGGCAATTTTTTGGGTGCTAAAAGTTCATGTTTCTTGCGTATGAATACGTGCCATAAGTTGCTTGCCTAGTGGATGGAGCATTTATTAGGCGACTTATATTGATTTTTGCCAATCAAATTGTTGAATTGGTATGTTTACGAAATGGTTGAGCTACTTATCAATCCCGTTTTTTATATATATAATAAACTAATACGAAGTATATATTGGACTACTTTTGGAGTTATATATAGATTACGTTTTAGGATGGTAATGGAGTCTTAATATGACATCATATGGAACGATAACTATGAAAAATGAAATTCATAGGAAGTAATATTCTATTGTAAAGTTTGTGGGCCGCTGTGAAAAATGAAATTGACGATAACTATATTACGATCCAATAATGGTACGATAAATGATAACATGATTCAGGCGAAATGTTTTCGTGATTCAGGTAAAATGTGAAACAATAAAATAGGAAGTAATAAGTACTGCGTATAAAATATATAGTGGGTCACTCCTTCAATCCTTCTGTTAGGATAGAACTTTAGTCTTGACAAAACAATACTCTTTTAGTTGATTGTATATTTTATATACGGAGTATATTCTATTGTAAAGTTTGTACAAATATATTATAGAAGTACATCACATGCAAGGTTCAATTCTGAATAGAGGTGTTGCAGCATGTCATAATTTGCATCATTCTCCATTCCTCATGTTTGTCACACCCAAACACACACACTCAGGATGTAGAATCTCAAGTAAAGCCTATTCTTATATATGGAGCATTACAAATGGTTGATTAAACGTGATGAGTAACTCGGATATCGTGACTGTAGCGCCAACTAACCGAGCAAATGTGGCGAATCGAGTCAAGCGCGGGCGCGTTTTGCGGCTCTAACCTGCCTTTCGCTGCACGTTTTCGAATCGTTTGGTGTCGTTAAGGTTATCTTATGGCTTGTGTAAGTGCGTATGCCATCAACGTTTGATGTCAAACTGATGGCTTTCTGTTTCTTTATAAAATTTGGATGGCAGGCAGAATTCTTTGGCAGATGAACAACCCTCACAGTGCATGTTTTTTCCAGGTTTGGGATTGCATGAAGATGTGAAGGAAGATCTATAAGGAAGTATCCTTGTTCATCTGTTGTGTTGTGTGCCTCACATGATGTTTTCCTCATCTTCCCCTTTCTGTTGCAGCTAACTCCCACTGAAGCTCCTGCAATTTCTTACACATCAAAAGACATTAGTCTTTTAGGAGATTTGTTGATAAAATCCCTTTATAATTAAACTTGGGATAATTCCCGAAATATGAGTAACAACGTTTTGTAATTCCAAAATTTGACTGTCACGTTTGTATTCTCTAAATAGGAGTACTTACTATCAAGTTTGAGAAATTTTAAAGTCTAGTAGTTCCAAAATAGGACAATAATTAGTTCTATTCAGGGCATAAAACACGATAGTCCTATTATAGAATTCACAAACAGTTTATTTAGGTAATTAGTTCACTTTTATATACATCTCCGCTATTAATTAATCTCGTATCTAATGTAGCTGATCACTTATGAATTATTCTGACGTTTCCTAACAGTTTTTAATGTAGATAAATTTATCACTTACAATACGTTTTACAAGTAAACCTAATAATGTTATAGGACTAATCATGGTTAGATCATCATCATTATTACCATAGTGCCGTAAAGGCTCTCTATGTACGCAGTCATACCCATGTACTAAAAGTATAGAGTGATTGTTTCCTAATGACTATCATAGTCTAATCATGGTTAGATACATACGTAGTATGTAAATTAAGGGACTAGATATATAATTTTCTCTTCCAAAGTAAACTTAATTATAACAGACCTGAGAGGGGAAGAGGTTTATTAGGTCGGTTGAGATGATCACAAGGGTGACATAGAACAGAACCATCGATTAAAACTGTAGAGAGTTTGTCCTCTCCGTAACCTCCCATCACCACCAACTCCTCCCTGCCGGAGAGTTCTACCAGTGGGTTGGCCACGACAGTCGCAGCCGCCGGAGATTCAAGAAATGCAAGAAAGATCATTGATGCAAACACCAATGCCATCTTTCTGATCATATGGAAGGGAAAAGTTAAGCTTGTGTATTTTACCTACCGGCCTTTCTCTATGCGTTTTAGTTTGCTTTGTAAAGACAAAAGCTTCTGCCGGTTCTTATATTTTAGATTTTTGTTTATTTCTCGAAATGTATTTTGTAGTTGATGATAATGGTAGAAAATGAAACGCTACCATCTTTGCTTTTTATATTGATCGAGGTGGGATATCAGATATGTAGCGCATGTCTCACATGTCCTTTTCATGGATAATATAGTTGAAACAATACAAGGGTTTCTTTGGAGTGGACCATTCTCTCACATATTGTGTGTACATATATATTAGGTGGTAGAGGCAGTAGAGCCATTGGATTCAATCCTATCTTTTTTTTAATCCAGTGGCAAACCAAAACCAAAAAGTTTTGCGGTGAGGGCCGGGGAACACCTCACCTATTTATTAATGTGTTGGAGAAGTATGATGAAGTTATTAATTGTATAGGTACCATTATGAGTCTAATAAGCGTTCTAAGAGCGTGAAATGTGACAAGGCGTCAAAGTGAAGTCTTAGTCTTTAAAGCCTAAGCGAGAATAAACAGAGTCTAGGCCCGAAAAAGTGTTTTAGATTAATTTTTATTGAAGATTATTATTTATAATGATATATGAAAAAATAAATAAATGTCCAAAAACTATTTTTCAAGATTCAGCATAATATTTACTTTATTCTGACATACTATTGTATATACGTAGTAATTTTTAAACGTATAAAAGCTGCAAATGCAAAATGATACGGAGTACTACCCTACATTGTGGCTATTTACTAATAATTATTAGATTCCATATATAACATATTTATAGAAGTGAATTTTTAAAAAACTTTATCAACTTTTTCTTTGCAAAAAACAATTGATCTAAAAAAATCAGTGTTTTCATGCCTAAATTTCACCTTTCATATTTAGGTTTCACCTTTCACACCTAATTAACTTACACCTTTAATTTAGTGGTCAGCTCTCGTTGATCACCTTTTCTACGTCTTTCTGGTATGGGCCATTGTCCTAATTAAGTAAATTTAATTTCTTGAATTTAATGAAAATCACAGGGTTAACACGCATGATATCATCTATGTGAGAAGACGGTCTTCTTCATTAAAAAGTACTACCTCCGTTCTCTTTTAATTGCAACATTAGACTTTTTGCACCATTCACATATTCTACTTTGACTATATTTTATTAGTTAATGTATTATAAATTAAAATTTTAAAAAAATATTGTTAAATTCTTCTTATTCTAAATTTTCAAAATATGAATTTTTTAAATTTTTTACTAATAAGGAATGAAAGATATTAATGGTCAAACTTGTGCGTTGACAAACGTGAAATGTTGACTGTTGCAATTAAAAGAGAACGGGGGAAGTATATATCTATTTTTTTTTATTTTTTTTTAATGGTGAGATGTGTGACTTGAAATAGTTTGCGTGTACTTATTATGTACATGCAGATGATATTTTGTTGGGGCAGGCTTGACATGTTACTTTACACATCTAAATATAGACTTATAGTCAATACCTAATAAGCCAAATGAGAGGGTTGAGACTTTCATACATAGTTCGTATTATGTATGGCGTGTTAATGTGTACTATATTTATTTAAGCTTTATATATAGTCTAGTTTTACAATAAGTTAGGATAACAACCTTATAGTTCACCTTCCATAACGGTCACCACTTTGTTCCCTGTTTTTCCTTGGAATTCTAGATGTGCAGTGCTAATCACTTAGGATATCAGTCACATCTCTACCTAATTAAATTACAAAAACTGCCCCTAAAAAGTCAAAATATCAATTATCTAACCTGAAGAAAACACTAATCTAATTATGTACTCCGTATTTATTTTCACAAAAATGTGATTACTCTCATATTGTGATTATTGAATGCAACACAAAAGAAATCAATGTACATAAATATCTATCACACCAAATGACCAAACGAGTAATTTATGGACTTCTATCACACCAAACGACTAATTTATGGACTTCTGATACCGTACAAGCAATGATGGAGATATGAAGGGCTATAAGTTGTCTCAGTCCCCAAGCAAAAAACTATAGTGTACACATATGTACACAAAATAAGAATGGTGGATCATTTGTAAGAAATAAGAATTGTTACAAAATAGAGATGAAGAGTGGAATTATTTTGTGGCTGAAATTAATGTAAAGGACCTACTTTAGCTATTTTTCTTACAATTTCATTTTATTTTATCAATGGAACATATTGTGTATATTAAATATATTTTTTCCATATTTCAGCAGATTCAGTCAATTCAGTCACTTTAGTCAGAACTTCATTAATTTCAACAGATTCAACTAGGCATGGACCGGTTCCGGGCCGGTCAAACCCGGGCTTTTGGGTTGTGGGTTGAGGCCCAAAACCGGCCCGGGATTCCACCGGGACCGGACCGGGCCGGGCTCGTTTTTTTTTTTCTTTTCTAATTTATTCCAACCCCCACCCCTCCCAAAACACCAAGCCCTACCCGCCTACCACCCAAAAAATCTGAAAAAAATAAAAAGATTTGGGCCCGGACCGGGCCCGGACCGGCTTGGCCATTTCCAAAGGATGCGCAGCCCGAACCTGCCCCCATAAATCCCCCGGGTCGGGCCTAGGCCCGGTACCGGTACCGGTTCACTGGTCCAGGCCTGCACAGTGGCGGGCCGGCCCCGTTCCCGGGCCGGTCGGACCGGACCCGGGCCAAGACTAGATTCAACTGATTGCATTTAGTGTTACCAAATGGCTCTATTTTTTTAAATTATAACGGCTCTAATTCCAGTTGACTATAATTTTTTTGAACGAGTCCCCATACTTTGTGTCTGAAGATAACTGTTGTTAGAGGAGAAAATAGTGATGGCTAATTTGTAGGTCTGTTATTTTGTAGAGGCCCACTTTTTAGTAACTTTAATTGTAATCCCAATAAAAGCTAGTCATCATATTAGTAATTTAGTATGAGTGCAAAATTTTCTTTCTAAAGAATGTTTTATTGTCTAATGCAGGGCTAAAGACTAAAGAGTGTTAACCTGCCTAAATCAAAGTGGGATTCAAGGCAGCCACACAGGGGATAAATTATTGGACGAAATAGAATGGAATGTATAGAAAAACAAATTCCAGTGAAACCTCTTGATTTTAGCCTGGTATTACTAATTTGGGTAAAATTTAAAAATAGTTATACTCAATTAAACTCAACTACCAAACAAGCTTAGAGAGAAATTTAAGTATGGGTTTCCTATTGGATACTAACAGCCATAACCAAAGGCTAAATGGTGCTCACACGGTTTTTAGCTGAATGAATAATAATAGCCACTGGCGTGTATCAAGGATGATAGATTAACCAGAACGAAACATGAAAAAGACAGTTAATTTGAGTGTTTTCCCAGTAAAATGTCTTCTAAAAAAGACAAAGCCATAAAGAGGAAATAAATTTCAATTAGAAGATTGAATAAGGCTTGGATATGATCTTGCAGAAGAGTGAAGATAGAGAAATCAAACTCCATCCTCTTATACACCTTTGCAAATGTTTAACTTGACTTTCGTGTTACATCGTTAATGCCATTAAAATAAAGAACCCAATCCAATATTTTTATCCGGCTAGATATAAGAAAACTCCTGAGAAATCATTACATAGTGACATGTTATTGGGTATAATCACAATTGTGGTCCATGTTCAAGTACAAGTAGCTTATCTTCTTAGAGTGGCCGGTCTCTGTCTTCACGGCTGAAAACCCGTGATACTTGTCCTGTATCTTCGCTTCACATGCGTTAACAATGTACTTGAGCATCTCATGTTGTTGGATGAATGGCTGAGATGCATATTCTTCATATGGCATCCACTACAGTATGAGTCGATACACGAGTTCAGAGACGAATAAAATTGAGATGGTGTACATAGATTTATGACATATTAACAAATGAATTAAATAAATTCAATGCTGTGGTTTCATATATTACGTAACGACTGGCCTAACACTAGACACGACAAACTTGATGAGTGATTAACCAGAAAGCTACATCTAATGAGGGGTTTTGATAAAAGGACACTTGAACTCAAATTTTCCAACTCCGATCTAGTCCGGACTGTTCTGTTCAATCCTTGATGGTATCGTACTATCATGCGTGACTTATAGGTCTAATATGTTTAACTCTGTTCTTCTACGGTCTAATCTATTTTAAGTCCAATCTAATCTTATCTGGTTTGGGGTTGAATAAATCCAAGTGAAAACATCCTAAATAAGTAAATATATGACTCAAAGATAGATATATGATTACTTTTAACTCCATAAAAATGACTATATATGTCACTGTCGGTAACATCCCAGAGGCACCGCCACTCCGAGTGACACCGCCTACATCACTATGACCAACAGTGGGGGAGTTGATAGGTGGGGAGAAAAGATTGGAATATATTCTGTGTTTGGATTTTTTTAGTCATTGTTTGAAAATATTTTAGAAAATCATATGTTTTGCCCATTGAAACACCAGTAGCTATATTTTGGTCATTTTCCATTTAATAATACCTGGGCTGCTTCTATCTCTTGTTCCTGAATGTGAATGTCGAAGGATGATGGTTGCATCATGCACACAAAGAATAAATCTGACTTCTCAAAAAATGACTTGTGACTCTGCCTGGAATGTAATTTTTAAAGTTCCAAAATTAACTGAAAGCTGATCATCCTAGTCACAACATACAATATATTACGTTGTGACTGTATGAAAAGCAAGGTATTAAGAATGTTATAAAATGAAAAGACAGCAAATGAAGAGCTAAATGAAGGCAAACAGATACCGGAAAGCTAGTATCTCCACAAAGGTTGTATCAATCTGAAGCAACATAAAACATAATAGTGAAGTTTATATTAGGACATATGCATTGTGTGATTGTGATATTTGGAATTAACCAAAAATAATGAGATATTACCCAAAATGGGACTAAAAAAGTTTGAAAATTCCAAAATAGGACTTCCATGTTTTTATTCCCAAAATAGGACTATTTACTGCCATGTTTTGGCAGTAACAGACTTCAAACATGGCAGTATTTTCCAAATTTGGCAGTAATTAGTCCTATTTTGGGAATAAAAACATGGCAGTCCTATTTTGGAATTTTCGAACTTTTTTAGTCCCATTTTGGGAACTTTCCCAAAAATAATTAACCGTGAACTTCAGACTAATTACCCACCCCTGTCTCTTCTTTTACTTCTCTGACAGCTGCATCACATATATCTTCACCCTGCGAATAAAGAATAAGAGCAGTTTGGTAAACAATTCCTTCTCCAGAACAGATGTCCTCTGATTTGTTTGAAATCGCTTTAAAACAACTGTGGGAAGTAAAAAAAACTGTGCATACCTCATCAACGACTCCAGTGGGAAATTTCCAAAAACCACTTCCTTGGAATTGTCCACTCTTTTCCTGGACAACCAATACCTAGACAGAAAATTGCATTTTCTTTTTAAATACGGTATGGAATTTGATGACGTCTAAGATGCTCTTACCAGAAGAGTGTATACAAAAAAATGGCCTGTGATGGCAATGGAAAATTTAATGCTTGTAACTGCGCGGCCACCAAGGTTCGAAATTGCGTTCCGCCTTAACGCAATAAGGCTAGCCTTGTGATTTTTTAACATTCTAGGTAATAAGGCTGAAACTTAAATAAGCAATATGGATTACTGCGCCTTTTTGGAAAAGGCGTACGTCTTATTGCGTAAGCCTTAAAACGGGCGTTGAGGCGCGATTAGAAAATAGGGCCCAAATTAAAAAAAAACACAGAGGCGTAGACCACTTAGTATATAAGTTTGCCTAGGAGTCTGCAACATCCGTAGTTCGTATTTCCTACTTCCGCTATTTCTTCTCTGCGGCCTGCGCACAGAAGAAACCTTCTGCAATTCTTTTTTCTGCTTTCATCCTTATCGGCAGGTAGCCAGGTATGGGTTTAATATATTATACGAGTATATTTATTGATAGATATGATGTGGTGGATGGGCAAGAAAAAGCACTAGGGATAATATTGATAGATGCGATGTGCTGGATGGATGGGCAGGAAAAAGCAGTAGAGATAATTTGCAGTAGTAATATTTTATTAATTTCTTTGTAGTTAGTGCAATCACCTTTGTTGTTTTAATATGGAACATATCATACGTAGTGGAACTTTTAATTATTATGAGTAATATTAATAGGCAGCTGGATGGAATTTTAATAATTTAGTATGATGGATATGATGTGCTAGATGGATGGGCAGGAAAGCACTGGGGATGATTTAGTGCAGTAGTAATATTTTAATAATTTTTATATTTACTTCTTTGTTATGAACATCTATTACGTAGTTAACTTTTAATTATTCTTTCACTTAAGTATTAATTACATTATTTGTTCTTTTATATAAATTATTTTGTGAAAAAGTTGAGGCTTACGCCTCATTGCGCAATGAGGCTTGCGCAATGAGGCAATGCTAAGAAACCGCCTCAAACATGCAATACGCAATTTCGAACCTTGGCGGCCACAACTTCCCCTTTTTAATAATGCAAGTACAAACACTTCAAATGCAAACACAATACTAAAAAAATAAATATAACAAAAAATAATGACTTATGAACAACAGTCGATAAAGGACAAAATAGAATCTGAAGGTAAACGGATAAGATGTAAGGAAGGCAGTGTTAAATGCGCAGGAACCCTGCTGCATTAAGTATGCTTGTGTCATGGTAAACACAACCCCATAATGCATCGCAAATGGAGCGCATAATCACTCAGATTAAACCATATGTTAAGAGAGTAGCTAGACTCTCTAAAGCACTTGATATTCCCGCATATTTGGACATAATAGAAAAAACATTATACCTAGTTTAAAAAAATAAAAATGAAAAATATTAAATTATTAACATACTACCTCATTCTTCTGATTCATGACAAAAGCCCCTACACCAACCCTGTGGGTGGCATTTCCTGGAATAGTATTTACAGTTACGGGTAGCCAGTGCACAAGCATCAAATACTTTGGTTCAGCATGATGGTAATAGAATCCTTCCTGTACAGCATATTAAATTAAGCATAAAAGGGCTATAAAAAGTAGCAAGCTTTTTCCACAATACAATGAGCTAGATGAAAACTATAGAGCCACCTTTACTAATGGTTCAACAAGGTTAGCAAGCTCAATAGGCAACTTGATCCACACACCTCTCTTTCCCTGTAGAGATATTAAGTTATGTTCTAATATAATAAAAAAAACACCCAATTTTAATCATATTACATATATCCTTAAAACAATGGTACAAATAGGTAAATGTTTCTCCATGAGCTTTAACATTCAAGACTGAATCAAATATCCTCAAATCGAGATATTTTGATACCATCACTTAGACTTTCACAGGATAGGAACTGCCTGTAAACAAAATTTTCATGTCATGCAAGCTTTCACATCTAAAATTCAATTACAATTCTTAATCATTCTGCTAATAGATCTCCCTACATCCCTATATGCTTGACGTTTAAACCCAGGTTTTCTGTTTTTCAAATATGTCTAGTAGTATAGTACGCTAGTAATACAAGATTAACTAGGTCCTAATAGTTAATACACTAACCAGCAAATGATGAGCACACTTGGCGCCATTGTTTATCATAATCCAATGGTGGATTATTATTGGGTGTAGAAAAATTGTATTTTGACACTAACCAGCATTTCTGAGAGACGATTCTATGTATAAGGTAAATTTTTTGGCACACTTATCATCTTAAAAAAGACCTACGAATTTTGCGAGCTCATATCACCTCCACGGATGGCCTTTGGTGGATATCAAATTCGTATGTCTAGTCCTACATATGCATCGAATTCTCGTGGAAGACAACCAAAAACTCATAGTTGAGAATCTGCTGCGCATTTCCCCAATGAGCAAGGATTTGCTTTGTTCCTTGATTAAGCTGGGAAGTGGGAACTAATAACCTCTCAAAGTCTTCCAGATTTCCATTTCTCCAAAACCCATGTCTTCCTTAAGCTTTGCAGTCTTTGTCTCATACCTCAAGATAGAGAAGACATTTACATATTACGTTTATGGGCATACGTATAAGTCTCATCACAGTTATAGCATGAACCTCTTGTTCAGCTCTCGGCAAACTTATTTTGTATTACTCCCCATCTATATTCTATAGAGACCATGTGAGTTGCCATGGTCCAGGGACATTTAGTGGTTTCTATCTTTGGGTGCCCCCGAAACATCACTAACTTGTTTCTTGGTAAAACACATCTTTTGTCATGCAAAAGTCAACTATGTTTTTCGCAAACTCCTGTAATTTCCATATGGGGGGCTGATTGCATTTAGCAGAGCTTTAAAGCAGTTTCGGGAAAACATTGGATCCACCATCTCTAAGCTATAAGACCATGATAAAGCTTTCCCAGCAATGTTCCTTGCCATTGAATGTTGGAAATTTCGATATGCAGTAATTCAGATTTCAGTAGGGCAGATAAACTCAGTTCTCCTATGAGAATGGTCTATCTCTCTATGACACCAAATTGTTATGAGTTTGAGAATGGGATCACATCAAGCTCTTATGGATTTTCCTATCATAGACAACTGACAAACTCAATAAGAGATGGGTAGTGGCCAGAGTTTGGTAATTGAGATGTTAAGAATGAGAGAAAAATGTGCAGACAAAATAGTAGATATTGCAGAACTCTCCTAACACTCCCTTTCCTAAATATGAGGCAATATTTGCCATGATTTCACTCAATGCAAACTCATAGTAGTAGGTACAAGGAGGAACAAAACTCCTACAAATATGGAACTGAGACAAAATTTGCAAATAAATAAATCACAACACGCCTACAAGGACTTGTTGAAAACACTCCAAGTGTACAACTCATTGCATAATTAAACACAGTAGACTAGAGTAAAGAATACAGTAACTGACAAAAGAACATTTTTTTAAGTTTTTGCAAATACACGAAATGCGCATGGTGTTAAAGAAACGAGTAATGCTTACCTGCTGTCTCCATTGACAAATTGATGCCCGAAGTATCGTAACGAAGAGTGAAGGGTCCATGGGCTCACTTGTCATCTCAACAATCACCCCTCCATAATCGTCATTTTTACCGGAAAAGATTCTGTCAACTTGTTCCCCCAGTTTCTCCGACCCCGATGCAGCCGGAAATGCTGTTGAACTCATCGCCGAACGCCGCGTATTCAAGTAACCCTCAATTCTAACTCCGCTAAATCTTCCTAAAACAAAAAACCTCAATCAGAAGAACGACAAAGTAATGCTCGTGAAATAATCACCCAAAACGACACAGACCTTGAGCTCGGAAGTGAAGCTTAGGCGTTCTAAGAGTGAAGAGAGTACGGTTTGAATTAGCAGAGACAGCTATGGCATTACAACAGAGCAAGGAGGTTCTACTCAATAATTTAGCTACCATTTATGTTTTTCTTGTTCCTTTTTGAAATCCCAAACTTGTTGGAGACCAGAAACGAGAATGGAAACGAATCAAAATCGGTCCCCTTCAACTCAAGAAAGATCCTAGCCGACATAAAAACTTATTTTAAGTTATATTTAAAATAGGCCGATTTGGTTGATTTGTGAATAAGTTATATTTAAAATATATTTTATTAATAAAATAAATAAATAATTATATGAAAATAGTTAAAATGGTCATATATAGTAATTTCAGTCAATACAGCCACAAAAATTAATTTCAACCTTATTTTATCTTTTTATTGCACAATTTAGGGCGCGAAATCAAAAGTTACGGTTTTGTTAAAAAGTTGGCGAACAATCCTGGTAATGTACATTTTGAACATTTGAAATTTTGAACATTAGCTATAAGCACTTAAATTTACTTCATACTAACTTTCTTTTTTGTCATATATCCTTATTTGATCATATATTAAATTTTTATCATTAATAACAAAAGAAATTATCCTAAATGAGACTAAAACATGGTTAAAACTCCAAAATAGGACTTCAAGTTTTAAATTGCTTAAATGGGACTCCAGATTACAATCTTACCCTTCTACAATTAAAACCCTGGTTCCGCTGCAATTCATCGATCCTCGCATCGTCGCTCTGCGATCTTCTTCCCCAATCTGCCATAATCTGCCGGCCAGGTAACCCTCTTTTCTTTTTCCTCCTCCTCCTTCCTCTTCTTCTCTTCTTCTTTCTCTTCTTCTTTTCTCCTCCTTCTTCTTCTCAACCTCTACAATTTACTGGTAATCTGTTATCTTGTTCTTTTGATTTCAATTTTATTCATAAAGAAGGAATCGAGAATGCCATAAAATTATCAGTAATTTGAAAACTGTCAATTTTATGACATTGCATTTATGAAGATGACAGTTTTACCCTGAAATTTAAAAAAATTAGATAAATGTCATAATTGATGTTACTTATTTGTAATAATGTCACTTTTATGACATTACATTTGCCAAGGTGAGAGTTCAAGAAGAAAATGACATATTCAAAGAGTAATAATGCCATTCACATGACATTTTCGAAACAAAGATGACATATTTAAAATGTCAGTTTTTTAGTAACAATGTCAGTTTCATGGCATACTGTCATCATGATAAATGTAATGGCATAAAATTGACATTTTTCTAATTGCTAGTAATTTATGGCATTTTGAGGTTCCAAATTAATCAAAATTAATAAACAAATAAACAATTGAAATCTAAAGAAAAAGAAAACAGAGGACCCAGTTTGAAGAGGATGTGAACGAGAAGATAAAAAAGAAAAGAGGAGGAAGAAGAAGAGAGAAGAGAGAAGAGGAGAAGAGATGGGAGAGGAGAAGATTTGGAGAAAATTACCTGGATGTCTTGGAGAAGAGCAGGCAAGCGGCCTTGGCATCTTCATCGCAAATTGCTGCTGGCCTTCATCGCAAATCGTTGTTCATCGCAGATGGCGTGGGCATCTGAATCTGATCGATGTTGGTCTGTCGGCTGGAGTGATGCGGTGAATTGGAGGGGCTTTTTTTTTAATTAAGGGCAGTTTTGTCAGATTACCTCTTTTTAGTCCTATTTTTGCTAAATAAAACATAGCAGTCTTATTTTTACAATTCTACCTTGTTTTAGTCCTATTTAGACAAATCTCTCTAATAACAATTGATCAAAACTTAGTGATAAACTATAAACTATTCATAAGAACACAGTTAATAAAAAATCTGATTTAACAATCTTCAGGCCCGGTCCTGACATTTTATGGGCCCAGGACAATACAAATAGACTGGGCCTTAGGGATAGCGCACGAAAAGCTATAATTTAAAATTATACAATTTTACCGTCAAAATACGAGTATAACACATAAAAAAACTAACAAAGCATATGATTAGAAAATATATAAAGAGCGTATTGATAAGTGACATTCGAGGATATAATGTACCTAACAACCGAATGAAACGAGTAGTGCAACTATAAGGCGCAATAAAAATTTCGAATCAAGGGAATTTGTGAAAGTTATATCTTGTATGAGTAACTTTTTCATATTTTAAATCACACTTTCACTAGACAAAAATAAATTCTAAGTTTCTAAATTATGGACACTAAAGTTCAATCTTTCACTAAATGAGAGAATCAGATGAAATTTGTGAAATATATCAATGGATATACATAAGACATGTACACTAAAAGATTAAAATTAATGTAATAATCCTTAATGATTCAAAAGAAATGTTGAAATATGTTCCCAATGAATTCTAATGTGGATGTTTCAAAATTATAGACTTGCATCGTGTACATGGTAAATAACAAATTAGAAGTATCTAAAAATATAAGTTTGATTTTATTTTTTATGTTTTATAAAATGTAATTTATATATATTTAAAATATTTATGTACATACATACACACATATTTTAAAATTTTATGGGCCCTACAGGAGCAAAGGGCCCTGGGCGCATGCCCCTCCTGCCCATGCCCCAGGACCGGCCCTGACAATCTTTCAAAAGTAACATCAAATTAGATTATTTATTTAGCACTTTTTCAATTATCACCACCCTAAAAAATGATCGTTTGATGGCATCACTAATATGAAGTTGACATGGATTTAGACTTGATAAAGTTGGTTAATCTTATAAAGAGTTATAAAAATAATAGAATGAGTATGTCGGTGGTATGGGCAGTGTATGGATATAGTCACATAAGCTAAAGCATGTACTAGTATGATGTCTAAAGATGTTTTGGTTTGATCTGGTCTGATATGGTTTGATCTGGTCTAATTTGAACTGGTTGGGTCTGGTAAAATCTGGTTCATGTGTATTTTTTATAATTGTCCAAATCTGGTCTGGTCGGGTTTAATCTGAGACTGGAAATAGTCTAAACAAAAACATCCTAAAGCACATACTACTATGATATTATATATGGCCAAGCATGTACTAGTATGATGTCTAAAGCATATACTACTATGATGTTGTATGTGGCGAAGCATGATTTATAATATAATATAAACTTTGACACAAAAAAATTTCATTATTTGATGTACTGATCAAACAATGGATTACGTATATGTAATTTTAAGTTTACATTCATTTCTTGCAATTTTTCCTGCACTCATAGATATATGTGATTATTGAATGTTCAAATGTTACTTAAATTTTCGGCATCTAATAATTTATGTCACATTTGAATGTAGCAAAAATGTATTTCTATATTGACTCTCAAAATGGGTAGCTCGGTCTTCCCTACATTACTCATTTCACGGATACTTTGATTGAAGTTACTAAATTGGCAGAACATGATGAATTGTGAAAAAATTTATATTCAAAATGTATTTTATTTATAAAAGAAATCAATATATATATATATATATATATATATATAAAAGAGAAACTTTTTAAGAGCATACAAAGCGCCACATAATCCTGCCATGTCATTATATATATTAACTATTTAGTTATTTTTATACTTTCTGTTTTTATTAGCCAGATTCTATTTTTTATTGCATATTGATATGGAAACAAAAATCCGTAGAAATCCACATAATTAAGGCATTTTTTGCTCACGTGCATATTATCCCAAAGAAATCACATTATTATCAAACTAAGTTTACTTCAATTTAATCATAAAACTGAAATTTACTTCCACATAATGTGATTAAACTAAAATTGACTTACACATAATGTGATTAAACTGAAATTGATTAATCCGTAGATTAAATTACATCTATATATTAGACTAAATTTTCTTTTCTTTTAATCACTTTACATATTATCCAAAAGAAATCAAATTTCAAATTAGCTAAATTACATACTGCCCGTGCATCGCACGGGCTTCAAAGCTAGTAAATAATATGATAAATAGTAAAAATAGTTTACTTCAAAAAAATTAGTCAATTCCGTCAGAAAAATAACATTAGTCATACTTATTTCAATTACTAAACTAATGGGAAATAAGAAGCCATTAGGCTCTCACTATGCTCACGTTTTGCATGATGTTTTGATTCCCATTATGCTAACAAAATCACTTATTTTTCCTCATTCGAATAGTCTCATTCCACTTGCTGGGCGACCAAATAGGATGGGATGTGGGACATTTCAAAAATGGGCGTGAATTTGCGCTTGGGGGCCACTGACTGAACCCTTGCGCCCATAACAATGTCATCATCTTCCCTGAGACCCACCACGAAGGCACCAATAAACAAATCTATTGACCCAATTCTTCTTTTTGACCAAATCATTCTACAAGCTTAGAGTTGTAGTCAAAGAGCAGCACCTTGCCTGTTCACAACTCCCTTTCCGAGCTGAAACCACACGGGCACAAAACCAAGCTGCCAACTTTTCCAGATTCCATTGCTTGGTTTTCATGTAAGCTGCAAAACTCACTGTCTTTCATCTTCTATTGAATCTTACCGTTTCTGTTTTTCTTTTTTGGAGTGTGAGTCTGGTGGCTGCTCTGTTCCAAGAGTCTGGGTGTATTTTAATTTTCCTTCTTTAACCAAAACTATCTGTTATGTATCATTGTGTTTCAATATGCTTTTGATCTTATTGGATGGATAATTAATGGGATTGAGAGCTGACCTATTTTTCCCTAGGAACATAATATATTATTTCACTGATCTTGTGCTTTCGTAGGATGTTATTACTTGGACTGAAATTTGTTGGTCTGGTCTGTTTAAATCTATTATGGTAAATATATGTTCTCAGTGTATTTTATAACTATTTTATAACAATGGAAGTCTTATAACTATGGACATCTGGTGTTGTTTAGTCTGTTTAAGTCTGGTCTGGTCTGTTTATGTCTGGTCCGTTTAAGTCTGATTTGGTCTAGGATTGAAAAGTAAAATCATCCATATTGGGTTGACCTATGGTATGAATTTGTAAAGCCCACCAAGAACAAACTTAAATAGAGCACTCACGCATTTGCGCTTATTTCAAGTCAGTCAGACTAGATTGGACTTGCCAGAAATGACCTGAAATACACGTAAAAACAAAAAAGTTTAGATTAGATCAGACTTAAACACATCAAACCAACTGAGATAAAATTAAACTAGACCTGAAAATTGAGTGAAAACATGTCAAGTCTTCACTCTTCAGACACATCCATCTATCGCGCTGACCTATAGGATTTTTCAGACATTTTACATTTTGAGAACTTATCTCCCTTTCATGGAAATGTAATGAGAGTGTGCATCCAAATAATTGATTTTTTTTCACTTTTCGTTTGGTTTGGTCTTGTGAGCAGTTTTGGGGTTTATAAAGAACTGACTGGTTATGGGAGACACACTGGGGCAATTAAAGATAACAGTTTTGAAAGGGAGAAGGCTTGTGATCCGTGATTTCAGGAGCAGTGATCCTTATGTTATTCTCGAGCTTGGAAATCAGGTACTTCAATGCTCTATATATACAAAAAGTAGTGTGCCTGTGAATCATTATAGAACATGTTAGCGTGCTATGTAGTGGAGAGATTCTTCCATATCAAAATATTTGGCGCTCGTTTTTTCAATACCTTAACCTCTACCGGACTCCCTAAATTATTCTCATGTTTTTATATATTTGCCTCTTCTTTGAGATGCTTTCAAATTTCTCTCATCATGCTTTGATTATATGTAACCATGCATGCCTTTCTTGTGCATGTTTGAATAATTAAGGTATGAAATCTTGATTGAATGCCTAACCAACTTTCTTCTCTGTTCTTCTTCTAAGTGTTTCCTCACACCCACAAAAAGCATTGACGACTAAGCAATTGAATGCTAACCTCAATTCCACTTATTGACAGATGGCAAAGACCAAGGTTATAAATAGCTGCCTGGATCCTGTTTGGAATGAAGAGTTCACATTCACTTTATCTGATCCTGCGGCTTCTATTCTGAAACTGGTTAGTTCAGAATTGTCTCAGCCTTTTTCACGGTTTTAGTTCAAGGAAATCTATCAAAAGCTGTTTACAATGGAATGCTCTCATTTCATACTGACCAAACATAAAGATATAGACTTTGATGTATGGTGTTGGAATGACCTTAATAATCTCAATTTCATAATTTCAACAACAGATTACAGAATTTAAGTTCTAATACTATGTTAGTGCATTACGTTTAAAAGAGCAACTTGATTCAACTAAAACTATTGAGGTGTTCGTTCTACATCGGCTAGCTAATCTAAAATATAAACCAACATATAAGATCACATGCTTCTTCTCGTATAAGATAGACTTTTTAAAATGGAAGTCAAACTTAATATGGTATTAACTAGTCACCTTTTAGATTTACATTCTCTAATGAACCCAAACTGTTAGTATTCAGTTTATTTATCAATTATATCCATGATGACAGAGAGTGTTCGATAAGGACCGGTTCAAGGCTGACGACAAGATGGGTCATGCGCATGTTAACCTCCACCCGTTGATGGCTGCTGCAAGGTTGAGGCAAATTGTTGGAATTTCATGTGAAGATGGGCCGTTAATCTTGAGGAAGGTCATACCTGAAAGTGACAACTGTCTGGTGGTGGATAGCTCTATCTTCTCTGAGAAGAATGGTGATGTCGTGCAAGATGTTCGGTTGAGGCTCCGCGATGTGAAGTCGGGGGAGGTTGAGTTGAGAATGAAGCTCACAAACCTTCCTGTTCCTCATAAGTAGTGTATGTGCAAACCTTCCTAGACTGTGTGCTACTTTAACAAGCAAGTTGTATAATAATACTAGCAACCCCTACGGGTTCCAATGTTTTATTTGATCAGTTGATGCATTAGACAGAAACGTTCAAATATGTAAGATGGTGTGTTGCTTAATTATTTAGGATCTCAGGCTAAAACTTTCCATGTCTAATATGGTCTGAATTGGTAATATGTACTTGATAAATACTTTAAATGTGAATGAGTCTAGTCTATTTCGATCTTTTCAAGTTTGGTGTGGTATGAACTAATTTCTTCAAGTCTAAACAAGTTTATTTTTACCTGTTTGGAGGTCAAAATAGAATTCCAATTAGATATCGAATTATGTTTTTACAAGCTTGGGATATAATATTACTATCGTCTCACAATGAAGTTAAACTTTACGTAGTAAACATAACCTTAATTAGAGGTATGAGGAATGATCCTATCCAGTCGGAGAGACAGGATCTTCCGTCTGGCCGCCGCCGTTTGGGGTGGTTTCTGGTAGAGTTTTTTGATGAAATTTTTATGGAATGTTCCTCATCAAGTCTAGTTTATCCACAAAAAATTTCAGCTGAAAATTCTATCGGGAAGGCAGTCAAATAATTTTTTGAAGATTACTGCGCCAAATTAAACATATAAAACGCAGTTATGTTTCAAAAAATTATTTGGCTGCCTTCCAGATCGAATTTTTAGTTGAAATTTTTTGTGGATAAACTAGACTTGATGAGGAACTTCCATAAAAATTTCATCAAAAAACTCCACCGGGAACCGCCCCAAACGGCGGCGGCCGGACGGAGGATCTTGTCCCTCCGGCTAGACAGGATCTTTTCCGACCTTAATTATTAGTAGAGTTTTTGTGAAAAAATATGACTAGTTATGTTTTTGGACAAAAACAATGACTAGTCACTGTGAGCTAGTTACTATAGTATGTTTTAGAATGACAAGTCACTGTAGATGAGTCACTATAAACTAGTCACTAAATATGTCATTTTTTGGAAAATTTTAAAATAAGTTATATTTTTGTCTTTTAAATTTAATTTAGTAATATTAATAGAAAAGAGGCCTTCATTGCTATAATAAATTCATAATGTGACATTTAAAACAATCATGTTTCCTTTTTTCAAAGCAATGATATTTCATCCCAAATTCCAACACCTTATACAACATATAAATCTAAACACTCATCTGAAAATGGATCCTATTCAATCAGATCAGAAGAGCCTAAGGCAATATGCTAAACAATTTTGCTTGGTGTACACCTTGTGTTACATCCTCTTCGAGGAAATTTGTCTGTGTCATAAAAAATAAATTTGCATGTAATCACCCTGAGTCCCTGATTGGGGATTTTTTTTTTTTTGCAACTTTTTCAGAGTGGTTGCACGGAAAATCAAAAACCAATGTCTGTGTACACATACATTAGTTGTTAGTTGTCCATGTAGGCAAAAAATAGTCTATATATATACATTCTTTGTATGTATACACAGACACTAAAAGAAAATCATTGTCTGTATACGTACATTTTTGTATATGGCAAAAGTTTAAACATTACTTCTTTTTTAATTTTAATCTTTCATTATAGACAATACTTATCATTATTTACACGATAGACAATATTTATATACCATACACACAATATTTTACTTATTATGATTATATCCCATAATTTAGCATGTGAAATTGTTGTTGCCTACAATGATGCCTGCAAGGCGCATAAGAAGAAAAGGTGTTACCAAATGGACTCTAAAATTACACAAAAAAATAATATTTCTAGCTCAGCTTACAGTTATACGTCCAAGAACTGAAGACCAATGTCCAAGGCGGGCAAGTGAGCATGTCAAATATCTCTAGTAGACTAGGAGACGATAAAAAGGAAAAGACACAAGAGAGCTGCCTTAAGCAAGATCAACAAATATTGACAGAATTAGCAATGTGAAATAGAACCTAATAGGTGACTTATATAATTACAAGTTCTAGACCTATATATACTATTACACTCCTGAACCAAAAAGCGAAACCACCCATCCCGGTGCCCCACACACCACTTCGACAGAGTAAGTGGTGATTAAATCATGGTGACTCAGTTGAGCCCTAACTTACGCAGTCATGCTTCTCCCCTTGGACATTATTTTGGGTAATTGCCAGAAGCTCCTTTTTGCACTCATTCCTAATGGAGCAGAGTAGAATTCCCTTCTGCTAGGCTCAAACTCTGACACTGCTTCAAATCTAGCTGATGAACACTCCAAATCTCCTACTGACAATGGCATCCTAGCATCCACAGCAGAACCACCCACAGAGATCGCTACATTGGCCTTCGTAGCAACGAATAAGTCGTGCTGGCCTCTAGCCTCATCAAGCTCGTTGTGAATGAATTTCAACGCTTGAACAACTTCGCCCATAAAGGGACGGTGAGACGAATCCGGTTGGACACACATGGCCGCTATTGCTGCAAATTTGATCATACCTTCAAATGGAATGTCTGATGACTTGATACTTGGATCTATAAGAATTTGTAAGCCTTCCAGTGTTGTGAGCAGCGGACGGGCCCACGCTACGAGATTCTCTTGACCTGGTGGTTGTGATAAATCCACAGGCTTCCGCCCGCTCAAAAGCTCAAGGAGAACTACACCGTAACTGTACACGTCACTTTTTACAAGGAGGTGGCCGGTCATGGCATATTCGGGAGCTACATACCTGAAAACACAATGTTTATATGACAGTAATAAATAAAAGTCCAATACATGAAACACTAATATATGAAACACCTTGTGGTCTAATGACATCAATGTTCGGGAACCTTGTGCTTAAAAGTTAGACTTTTATCACAATGAAGGTTCACAGTATTACTTAAAAAGTGAGGCTATTGAAACTAGTGTGACAAAAAGAGGCAATGCAACAAAAAATCCCCCAACCTCTCTCATATTGCACTTGGTCTACCACCCATCTCTGACCACCCAACTTCCTAACTAACCCTGCCACCACAATTTCTACAACAATGGGTAGCCAGAGGCGGTGGTAAGTGATAAAAGGTGAGTGGTTAGCGAGAAGAGACAAACTAGTCAGTGGGCCGGGCATCTAAGGTTCAATACTTCAACGCAAGAAACTTAGTTATAGGATATAAGAGCATATTGGGTAGAAACTTTTAGTTTTTCTTTGTTAGGACTAAATAAGCAATACTCTGTCTTAATTTAAGAATTCTGTTACCAAGGATTATGTAATAATAATTAAAATGGATATATTAAGAAAATACACTATAAGTTCCACTAAAGTGCTAGAAATGAATCTAAATTTAATAAAAAAATAAAAAATCATTATATAAAATAAGATGTTTAAGGAGAGTTAAATTGACTGCATGGATAATGTCAGGGAACCTTAGGGGCTTGTTTGGTTCAGGAGTTCTAGAGGAAAGGGAAGACGACACATTTTTAGTTTACTAACCTCTCTATTTGTTTGTTTTAGACTACAACCACATAATTAGTATAACCAACTCTCCCCCATTCCGTCATCTCTGAAACTCACGAACCAAACAAGCCCTAAATATGTATGGAGGAGTAGTATAGAGGAAGGTTCTATGTTTTAGTTCTGTATATGTAGCAAATTTTTATAACGACAAAAATCATACCCAAAAGTACCCACAACATGAGTTGACCTCTTTCCCTCATCCATTGCTGATCTAGCTAAACCAAAATCTGAAACTTTTGGAGTGAAGTCATTTTCTAATAGTATATTGCTTGACTTGAAGTCCCTGTGTATTACGAGGGGATTAGAGTCTTCATGCAAGTAGGCCAACCCTTGAGCTGCACCTAATGCAATCTTGACCCTAGCATACCAATCAAGCGGGGAGGCCTCTTTATCAACCCCGTGTAGATGAGACTGCACACTCCCATTAGGAACAAGTTCGTATACCAGGCAACGACACCTGTCCTCTGTGCAGATGCCTATCAGTTTCACCAAGTTCCTGTGGTGCAGACGACTCAGCATCTCAACTTCAGCCATAAACTCACGGCTTCCATTCCGATCAACCCTCTTTAGAATCTTCACTGCCACCTCCCTTCCATCTTCAAGAATGCCACTGTATACAAGTCCAAAGCCGCCTTCCCCTAGGACGGCATTGAATTTATTGGTCACTCTTTCTATATCAGATGCACTGAAAATCTTTGCTGTCCCGGCGTATGCTAAAATGCTAGAGCTGAAGGATGATATTGGAGTTGAGTTGGGCTTACTTTTACCTATTAAATAGCCAACAGAACCTGCGGTAGGACATAAAGACTCTCATGTCATTGTATGGATGAACTCAATATAGAATAGGCTTACTGTTAGAATTTCACATTGGACAGAAAAGAAAACGATGGGTTGATAAAATTAAGGTTGAATTAACTAATATATCAGATTCAATCTTTTAGTGCGGTTAGGTCTAAATATTTTGTGTTAAAGTATTTACCTCACACCAGCAAAGTATACAAAATAAATAAATACACAACATGCTGGTTTACTCCTCTAATAAGGATGAAGGATGAAACTCAAATCTTAACATTATTATAGGGTAGTTGAGCAAGAGTAGGGATATCGGATACTTGATCTTACATTTCATACACTCGGAAATTTCAGTACGCATACCTGATGCTTTCCCCTTATAAGATCCCAAATTATGCGGAGTTTGCACATGCACAGATGTACGCCGTCTGTGTTTTAGGCATAGAAGCCAAACAACTCCCAGAGAAATGACAAAGGCAATCGCAAACGATAGAACTATTGTAGAAATCATATTGATCCTAACCCCTTTCTTTTTTTCCCTTGATATGTCTACTCCCAAAGGTTTTATTGCACTTCCATCCATTCCTTTTCCAGGAAGGGGTTTATCACTAATGAAAGACCCGGATGAAGGTGGAGACGGTGGTAACCCTGCATTAAAGGTAATGTTTAAAAACCATAGCACACATATATCTTTAAATATAATACTTGCAATAATTAAAACAATGAAACAATGACAAATTTGTGATTAAAATAAAAAGTAATTGACAAATAATGACTTTTAGTACACAGTAACCATAGAAGTACTTTCAGGGATTGCAATGACTACAGTGATGTTCAGTTTTCTCTGTAGTGACCATAGTATTAGTATTCACTACCATTAATTCTATTTGAGTAATATGATAGAAACAACCTCTAAAACAATAGTCAGCTAGAACGCTTTTCCTGCAAATATACGTGTTAAACAAGTTTAGAAATAAGTACAACCAGTTATTTAACAACCTGGATAGTGGACATAAACCACTTCATAGGAACCAAATAATGATGTCTTGATCAAAACCTCCCTCCTCCAGAACATAGCATAGATTGCAAATGCTGTTGCAGCATTGAATTTGTCCTCCGAAGGAACCAAGTTGACAAGCACAATGGTTTTTTCAAGCTCTTTATTTACAGCATTTGCTCCCATGATGCGCACTTGACTTTGTTTCAGCACAGCAGCAGTTGCTATTTCCTTAGAAAGCTCGGACACCAGTGGGAAAAATGCATATAGGGTAACACTGAGGCGGATTGCAACTTTGATAGGGAACACACAAGCGCATGGTGACCCGGGAGGTGCGTATGTTTGAGGCTCAGTGCATGTCATTGATTCACAATCTACAAAGAAAAACCATACAAACACTTAGGCAATACTTGCACATTCAGAAAAAATAGCAAGGAAAAGAAAATATGCTATGGAAATACTAAGACTTGGGTTTGATCGTCTTACACGTTGATTTGTATCTTATTACTTGGTCAGTGTATTACTTAACATCCTCGCTATTAGAATATACCAATATTAACATTTCATTTTGAGCTACTTGAAATTTCATCTTAAAAGATTAATCGAATGCTTGTATCTTTGTCCTTGGCAAAATCGTTTTTTTATGTTTGGTTTTTACGCAAAAGTATGAAGGAAAATCAGGTTACATTAGAACTTAAATTTTTTCATGTGTTTAGATTTTGCAGATTTTTTGTAAATAACATGAGTTCAAATATACATCAAGAATAAACTTATTCGATTTGAGCTTATATTATATTTTCACCCAAATTTCTTTCCTTCCATTTATGGTCCACCATATGCTCCTCATTCTCTTTCCGAATAATTTTGCTTTTTCCTAATTGACCTTTAGTAAAACATGCAAGAAAGGAAAAGGAATAATGGCAGGCATACAATGATCAACGGTGTGTGTCTTATACCTTGATTAGGAGGTGGTGGCGGTAGTGTCAAGGGTGGCAATGGTGGTGGAGTCATCTTCCTTTTCCAAGAACTATGAGAACTAGTGGGTTGAGGCGCTGGAACTTGCAGATAGAAAGAAACACAGTTGATACAATTTGCAAATAAATCATAACTACATTTTGGCAATGAGCAAAAAAGGAACTAAAAAAGAAATTTAAAAGTGCCTTCACATACTATTTAAATGGCTTGATGGAACCATTGATGATGGCTGAGGTGCTAGCGAACCACTTGGTGATGAAGCAAAGGAAGACTGAGATGGAGACATTGAAGGCCAATGCCCTAGACCAGTGTAAGAACTTGAGAAACCATACACTCATAATATTTATTGCTTATAATCAAAACAACTATTTGTTGTTTACTCCCTCCGTTTATAAATAAATACCCAATTAAGGAAAAATACTGGTTTTTAATGACATGATTGTTTATGTTATAATCTGGCAAGTGGCAACCATATCCTTGTTAATCTCTATGAAATAAAAAAAATAGTAATGAAAAGCCTAATAAATATGAGAGTGCAACTTACTCATTTCACTATGTTTCACTTTATTAGTTTGATATAAAGTAATTGTGTGAACAAAGTGTCTTTAATTAATGTACAGTTGTTTAACAAGAGAGTGTAAAATTGTAACCTTGCCAGCTAGGCTCAGGAGCAAACTTGTTAAATTCATGTCTTCCTTGATTGTAGCCAGAGGGTGCATGTGATGGTGGAAATGCAAATCTGTGCATCCATTTCTTAAAATGATGCTTAAATGTTGAGTTAGAAGGTTTGTGTGAATGATGGAAGGGACTCAAAATCTTGGGTAGATTGCCACCTGCACAATAACATCAAAAGATCACATCTTTGTTTAGTTTTCATTTGTAGCTAATAGAGCCTAACAAGATGGTAGATTCGGGTTCAATTCTTGGGAAATGCATGGTTAAATCTTGCAAGGGGTTCATGGCCATATGCTACCTTTTGAGTACTCCCTTTAACACTAGTAATTTGACCAGATAAGGTGATTAAAAGGGTGAAAATTGATATTTTTGGGGATGATTAGAGTAAAAATCTGAACTGTGATGTACCATGAAAATGTGTGTCATAACTTAGGCAGAGGGTACTAAATGTGCAAATCTGGAAGAACCCTACAAGCAGAGCTGCAGAAAGCAGCTTATGAAGAGCATAAAAGGCATAAAACAACAGAACCTGCTGCGGCAGATGCTAGGAGTGAGAATGCACTGAGAAAGAACAGAACTTTCTGCAACAAAAACCGCTGCTTCAGAACCATATCTTCCTCCAGAAAAAGCAGTAGAGAAAGAAGTAATTATCAACCGACCATCACAAGCAAGAAGAGGGATTTGAACATCCAGATGTACCCTTCATACAACACAGTTAATTGGTAAAACAATTCACCCACAAGTAATGCTGTAAATGTTCTTCGAAATTGGTGCACTGTAATAAGTAGTAGAAGTATCAAGAATGGCAAAAGTCAAAATGGGTAAGAAAAAAAATGATGAAAACATAGAAGGAAAACAGAGAGCCGGCAAGAGAGGCATTGAGGCAGGAACAGAGCGTGGGGGCGCTTACCACGTTTCTCATGGTTTGACCTCTTAAAGTTTGCTTCACGTGGGATATGGGACTTATCATCATAAATAATCAAAAGGGATAAAAAAACTGTCGGTCACCAGTCTTCCATTCCTACGCCAATCATCATGTCATGGCAGAATATCTGAAAATATCTTTAGAGCTGGTTTTATTTTATGGGTGGGCAAAACTACCGAACCGGCATGGTACCGAACTGAATCGATATGGTACCAGGTCGAAAAACGGGGTTTGAAACGGATCTCAATTTTTTTGTCCCAAACCGAACCGTACCGATTCTAAACAATGCCATGACCGGTTCTCATAATATGAGAACCGAAACCGGACCGAACCGGACCGAAGTATGATTTAATTATTTAAATTTACATTTATACCATTATTTTGACTAGAGCCTTTACATTTTCACCGTCTTTGCTAGTTCATAGGAAGCCTGGAATCGGACCAATGTATAATTTATCTGAAATTTATTAATTATGTAATACTACCTCCGTCCCAAATTGATTTGCAAAATTAACTTTTTTTTGTCAAACAGATTCATTTTATTCACTTAACTAGAATGTCAATTTTTAATTATATTTAATTTGGAGCTTGCAACTTTGAAGAAATTTCAATGTAGTTTCTGAATATGTTTATTTTAATTATTACAAATTGAATTAATTATCAATAAAGAGAATTTAACTCTAACATTGGTTGACCAAAAAATATTGACTTTCCATATCAATTTGGGATGGAATGAGTATGAAAATTGATAATTGTGTAGATTTTTGGAGGACGACTAAACTTTAATTGTCTTTTAAACACTTGGAAAAAGTGGCATTGTTTGGTATTAGTATGGCATGGTATCGTCTCGTTTCAAAATGAAACCGTACCGAACGGGTTTAGGTCTAAGACCGAACCGAACCGTTTGAATAGTAACGGTACGGGTACGGGTTCGGCCAAATATTGGACCGGACCGCGCCCACCCCTATTTTATTTAGATATCAATTTGGTTGACACTTTTTTCTAACCATTTTGGTTAGACTAAGACCATTTGTAGTGGTCAAGAGTCTAAATTGTCAAATTTGGACTCCGTTCATATGAAAACAGTGTTTAGACTCCATCAATACTGTTTTTCCCTGCATCCGTGCGCCGTCAATAAAATACACTATGCATATTTTTTACATATTAATTTAGTAAAAAATTATTTTAAGTAATGTTTTACTTTTAATTATTTTTCCTGAATAATTATGAAATAAAAAAATACACATTTAGATGTAAAAACATGTAATTTTCATTAATTTTTTTTTACGTTTTTCGGTTAACAAAATGAATTAGAAGTAAAGCTCGACTACGGAACATTCAGTTATTTTTGAAGGCTTCATGAATTAAAAATTTGTGTTTCATTTCTTTTAGCTCAAGAAAACTGCAACATTTAAAACTTCAAAAAAATACAAATTCATTTTATATATCACATATGGATGTCATATGAAAGATCATAAAAATTCATGAATTTTGATATATATTTTAAAATTTTTGGAGAACAAATAAAAAAGTTATAAGAGTTTAAAAAAATTGGGATTATGATGACATCTGCATGATGTCATCATGATGTAAGCTGAACCATAGCAACTCCTTGGAGCCGGCCGCCACTTTCTTTTCTTTTCTTTTTCATTTTTTTAACCCTGTCAACCCAACCCTCTATATTTACACTCCTCCACTCCCCTTCCCACTTTTATTCCCTCTTTTAATCCACCACTACACCTAATTAGGAGTCTAAAAGTTCCATTTTTAATTTTTTAACTCCTAATATTTAACTCCTAATATTCTTGTTCCAATCGAGTCCCTAAACTAAAAAATGTTCAATTCACAATTTGAATCGACAAAAATGATTCAAATTTCATTTTTTACGGGTAACCAATTAGTCACCCGCCACATCATTGGTTTGATTGCCATATGTGCATCTGAAGTGAAACTAAAAGTTCAAATAAGCATCTGAACCCGTCACAATTGATCAAACCACCCCTAAACTATTAAAAAGTGTCAAAATTGTAATAAATTAAAAAAAATATAAAACATTAACAAAATTTAAAAAATATATAAATATAAAAATAAAAAATTTTAAACATGAAACTTAAGTTTAATTTTAGACTTTATATTCATACTTTATGTACGTAGGATATGTTTTTACATCAATATTTTATTTAAGATTTTATTAATAAGGAGGAGATTCAGGATGTTAGTAGGGTCAAACCTTTTGTCACCAAAGCCACTAATACGCCCATTCTCGACATCCAGATCATTAAACCCAAATTGAAAGCCCAAAAACATACCCACCAGGTTCTTAGTTGGGCTAGACCTCCTGCCAATTGTATGTCTGTATCAAACTTAACATTACCATAGCAACTACAAGGGATGTGAATATAATTTCTGGAATGATCATTCGGGGTAGCCAGGGGCACATGATACATTATCAGTTCAACAATCATATTCAGGTAGATTACACTTCAATCTTTTGTGATATTATTATCTGGCAGAAAAATCTGTTTCAAGATAATACATACACTAACATCATTTTTTAGAGTGACAGATTACAGGTACTCAAGACTATTCAAGGAAGTAACCGAAAGCCCGAGGTGGACAGCGATTGCAAACCTTCACTGTGACACCGCACCCGAATGTACTTGAATTTGAAAGTGGAGATGTATTGAATTTTCTAGCGAATAAAATTCGTGTAATTAATTGGCATATTTAATTAATGTGCGATTAATCAAATTATTTATCGGGTCCGTTAAATGTGAATGGACTACCAAATATTTAGTTGGGTTATCGTAATAAATTATAGGGGTCCAATAAAACGCCAACCGAAGTTGATAAAAATATTTGGACAACCCGAGTGCTATTTTGGCCCAACCTACCGGAAATAGCAGGAATAATTGGGAGAAACTTCCTGCACCCACTTGGGGTATTTTCTACACCAACTAGTCTCAAATAATAGGGAGAAGAAGCAACCGAACATGGCTGGTACGTGTGAATGTAAGGGGGAAGTCTCATTGAGACAAAACCCATACCTCATGTCCAATCCCTCCCCATATTTTGTCTTGGGTGAGAGGAACCCCTCCTCTACCACTTGAGCAATCATTCGAACAAGACCAAAGGAAGAGGAGCATTGGCAAAACACTTCTCCCACAGACCATAACTTGAAGGAAGCAAGAAGAAAGAAATCCAAGTAGAAAGCTAGCTCTAAGGAAGGTAAGAACTCACTTATCTCCTTTAACTAGTATTATTTTTGTATGGTTTTTAAGAAATCATATGGTGGATTAAACATGGACTTCTACACGTTTAAAAGTGTAGAATAATGTTATAAAGTGGTGGTAATTAACTTAGAAGAATCGGGAATCGATAGGAGTTGAAATCGCCGGAAACCGCCACCTGAAGGAAGCTGTTCGTAGCTGCAGACTACGAAAGCCGCCCGGCTTTGGGTGAAAGCCGCCCGGCTTTGGGCTACTGTCCAGGATTTTTGCCTTCAATCGGCCTAGAACGGGGATTGATCGAGGGGCTTAGCAAAGGCAACTATTGTAGCACATCACAAGGTGAGGATGGCTGACTATATTGCTTATAATCTTTGGGTTAATTTCATAAGATTACCTAAAGTAATTAAATGTGATTTTCATGGATTATTAATGCTTAATAATGCCTAAATGAAAATATCATTGTTTGTGAATAGAAGATGCATAACATACAAATTTATGAGAGATTGTGTATGATGATGCATAATAAATGTGGAGGTATAATGATTGTATAAACCATGAATTTTTGTGATAAAATATACTTTTACTTCATGTATAGAAATCATGAATGGATAAAAGTGATATTTTTGATATTGAGATTAAATCGTATACGGATTCGAAAATCCATAGGAATGAGCCTTATAACTATGAGTTAAGGAGCTTGGCTGTTTAAAGATTTATGGATTAGTATTTAATTTACTAATCGGGAATGTTGTATAAAAAGTGATAGAACAAATCCTAAGGACTTGGATTGTGAAGGATGCACCTTAAGTAGTCTTATGAGATGCCTTAAGGTAGGAATGGGTAACCACTAATTTAAGTTACATTAGGAGTAGGCCTCATTGGCTACTCAAGGTTGAGGAACTCTAGGCATAGAATTCGCTAGTGAGTTAGTATCGTGACTAGAGGAAGCCTCTAGCACGATGAAGAATGACTGGAGGAAGCCTCCAGCATTCGTGTAGGACGAACTAGTATCGTGACTAGAGGAAGCCTCTAGCACGATGAAGAATGACTGGAGGAAGCCTCCAGCATTCGTGTAGGATGACTAGAGGAAGCCTCTAGCATAATGTAATGTGACTGGAGGAAGCCTCCAGCACAAAGTATGTAAGGTGATTAGAGGAAGCCTCTAACACCGAATTTAGTGACTAGAGTAAGCCTCTAGCACGGTAAAACATGACTAGAGGAAGCCTCTAGCATAGTGAATTAATATAGATGGGCGTGGCTTGAAGTCACGGGGAAAGGGTTGAACGTTTTTAAAGTAAAACATGGGTCTTCGGGCCGACTACTTGACTTTATATATAAAGTAAGTATATTTTTAAAGAGGGTAACCACGGGTTATGACCTATATTATATTATCACCCTATGTGAGGGTCTTGGAAATTGAAACTTTGATTATACTTAGTATAGTTGTCATTGTACTTGTCAAATGCTTCCAAGTACTGACCTCCCCTTCACGGGGGAGGCCACCTCACAGTTTCAGGTAGGACTTGAAGGTTGCTACCGCCGCCGTTGCTTCGGGGAGATTCAAGGGAGGAGACGTGGTTCGTGCTTCTTCCGTTCCTGTTTTGAAAACATTTTAAATATTGCTCATGGATACTATTTGAATATTTATTGGGGCTTGTACGCCCGTGTTCGCCACGTGTGGCATGGATATTTGTATTAACGTTTCCGCTGCTTGATTAAATATTTTGCATTATGATTGTTTATGGATGTACTATTGTGAATGATATTCATGACGCCTAGTATAGTATGGATGAGTTGGACTGCGGTTGACTATTCGTACTGTACGGCGGGTTGTTGACGTGTCCGGTAGGTCCGGGGCGTGACATTCACGCCTACAAAGAT